CACCCCCCCCGGCGAACGATTCACACATTCGCGCCGCAATGTACGTGCGTTTCTGCCTCATCCTTCATCGTCTAGGAGAATACGTATTCCATCCCAAGCAAGCCGTTATCGAGATCCTTCCTTTCATTCGTGTCAGACAATTCTACGCGCGCACATTCGTACACCGCAGAAGACAATGTAAGCTCACACGCGCAAGCGTCGAAAGTATACCCAACACATTGTTTTCGTAAGAGAATAGAAAATCATCAAAACCAACTTAAGTTTTTCATCACGAATATTGAAGATGCTGTCCCCGCGCCAAGTTTTCATTCACCGGGCAAATCAACAAAGTATCAGCGACATCTTCCAAGACCCACATTCTCATGTCACCACACGGTGCATCCGCTATGGGATTCGGTGCCATTTTCGCATACTCGGTTTCTCGGTCCCCAGAGGGCCCGACACTGTCGAAGATGCCCCCGAGATCGCTCCAAGATGGCGCAAGAGGGCCCCAAAACGAGCCCAGGACGGTCTAAGACGCGCTCCAAGAGGGCCACGGAAGGGTTCCAGATGACCGAAGAGGGCGTCAAGACAGCCCAATTCTGTTACAAGACCGCCCCAGAACAGCCCTAAGAGGCCCCAAATATTGCCCTGAAGGGCCAAGACGGCCCCAGAGGGCCCCAAGACGGCCCAGGAGGCTTCCAAGACGGCCTGAACACAATTTCAAGGGACCCCGAAGAGGGCCCATTCGGGACCTTGCATTCGCACGGCATCCGTCGGAATCTGTCCGCCGATCCGGCGTGTGAGTTTCTGATCGCGTGGACTTGAGCTCGCTCAAACTTCGCTCTGCAAGGGGGGGGGGGGGCGCCATTCCCGACGCCATTCAGTGCTCGGGAGCCGGGAGGGTGTCGCTCTGCAAGGGGGGGGGACGCCATTCCCGACGCCATTCAGTGCTCGGGAGCCGAGGGGGAGTTGCTGAAGTCATAAGAGCCGTATGAATCTGGCAATCTCGCCAGAATCCTGCATTCTGATGTCACACGCAGTGCGCCCGCGTAGCAACTACTTCCTCACGGGCCACTCGCGCGCCGCCGTGCCGAATCTCTTCCAAAACCATTGGTTGTTGAAGCATTTCATGATAGAGATCTTTGACACAGATGACAAACAACATTGTTTGAACAACTATGTAGATGGCCTGGGAACTATATAGCGATATTTGACATATTTCTGCGCATGTATTTCCTCACCATCACCGTCACCACCGCCGCCGCATCACGTCATCGTCTTCGACAATCGCCAGAGTTGCCGTCATCGTCGCGCAAGCACTTTCACCATCGACACATGGTTATCATTATCTTTATCGGCGTTGCCACCGCTGGCGCCGCCATTGGCATTGCAGCTGTCATCCTCATCGTCGCTACCACCACTGGTACTATCATCATGTTCGCCGCCTTCGCGATACCGCGCCCGCCCGAGCTACCGATCTGCAATGAAGTGCCCGCGTGCCACCGCGGCCTCTGACACGCGCTGGGGCGCTGCCAACGGTAAGCGCCATGGCTGTCGCACCGGCTGCGCCAAACCAGGTGGCCGCTCTGCGCGCGAGCTTGCGCGCGCAGCGCGGCGACAGACATGCGCCAAACATGGCCAAGCAGACAGCAATCGCTGCGGCATGGGTTTTGCAAATCAAGCTGCGGGTGCGAGGGCGGGACGGCTGCGCAAACAGTGAAATTGGCAGTCCAAAAGTTAGCAAATAGTAGTTGAGTCTTGTAAATTACATTTGCACCACATTGTGCCCGCCACTTACTTTGCACCACCCAGCTTGCGCCGCGTGGGATGTACCGCACTGGCTTTCCTTTCTTATAGGATCCACCACCCTCAAAGACCGGGGTTAACGGTTCACCTTTTCGTATTGGAATTTATATGTGTTTCCCCACTGTCCATTTTAAAGATGATTTCGTACCATCCAATGGGGGGCCCGTATCGACTCCCCGCCATCTTCTGCATAACGTATTATGCGCGGGCTTTCGTTTATCATAAACCAGTTCCCAAGAACCTTTTGGACAACAAATGACGAAGTGCACACGCGCGCATCGTCGCGCGTGCATGCCGAAATCTGTCAAAATCCTTAAGTCCCGTAGGGATCTCAAAATCGATACCCCCCCCAAAAAAAAAAACATTCGAAAACGCATGATTTTGAAACACGGATTTTCTACAAAAGCTTGCGCGCGCGTGTTTGCGAATTCTTACGAAAACCATAAAAGGGTTTTAACATGTCCGTAAAGTGTTACCAAACGGTCTTCGGGCGCGCGCATGTCGGAATCGTTCGAGCGCCCTTGCGCGCGTGCTGTCGCAAGAGTCTTGTCTGCAAAAAACGAGACGGAGTGCACGCACATGCCGGAATCAGTCAACAACCTCTGGTTTCGTACAGATTTCAAAACCGTGCGTCCCGAAATTATGCAACAAACATGGTTTCGCAACATCAGTTTCCCGAAAATCTTGCGCTCGCGCCCTGGCGAATCCTTAGGCAAAACCATCGGTGTGTTGTCGACATGTTCATAGAATTCTGCCAAACGGGCTTCCCTCGCCGCGTGTCGAAGTCATTCGAACGCGCTTTCCCGCGTGCTGGGGGGGGCACGATCCGTGTTAACAAAAAAAATGCCATGCGGTCACTCTCGCGCGTCGGCCTCGCGCGCTTGTCGGACTCCTTCCAAAACCGTCATCACTGACGCGAGGCCGCCGTCATCGTCGTCGGCGTGATGAGCATCGGCACCGTCATTGGCCGCGCCGTCGTCGCTGTCAGCATCGCCACCAGCATCGCTACTATCATCATCGTGTCTACCGTTGCCGACGTTGCCATGATACCGCGCCCGCCCACGTCGCCGACTCGCACTGAGGTGCCCCCTCTTGGATATGCCCAGCGATCAGCGCCACCGCGGCCGCGTCGGCTGCGCCAAACTAGCTGACCGCTTTGCGCTCGTGCGTGCGCGGGCCAGCGCGGCCGCAGAGATGCAATCGCCGCCACATGGGGTTTGAAAACCACATTGCGGGTGGGTGGGTGGGGTGCGTGCGCGAGCAGTGGGTGAATAGTTCATTGCGAAAATAAATTCGTTTCACCCTATAGTTTGCTTGCACCACGCTGTTTCACCTCAGCTGTTGCGCCACCGCGACCGCCACATAGTTCGCACCGTTTCGTTTTACCACATCGCTTGCACGTTCACAGTTCGATAACCAACGTGCGGGGTCCACGCTCGCAGACACGTGTCAATATTTGTCGGATTCCCACCTTGTTCCCCGCTGTTCCCGCGCTCGTTTGCCGGTGATTCTGCCGATGTGATTGTTTGCATCCTTCGTCCCCCACCGCACCACACACAACATCAAAGACACACCCGCACACACAACATGTAACACACACACACACACACACGCACACACACACACTCGTACACTCGAGCATCTGATTAAGACACCTCACGAACTGTTGGGCCCGCGTTTCTTGACCAATTTTGCGGAAAAGCTGGCCCAGTTTCTTGGGCACGTTCCCTCCAGCGTCAACAGCAGACCTTTGCCCAGGCTTGTTTTAAAACGCTTCAGGGAGTTGGCCCAGATGTCTTAAAGTATGCTTCTCTCGACCACAAGATTGGCTGTATGTGATGGTTTCGCGGCCTTGCGCTTAGCGACCCAGCGAAGTCTACCATTGTCGGAGTTTGTGCACGCCGGGCCAACGCGCACTCACTGGACGGGGTGGCGCAGGGTTCACCCATAAAGAACGGCTCTGCGCAGGGGCTCGCAGGGGCAATCATGAGAGGGGACGGTCAGCCACACGCAGAGGGGGTATGGGGGAGGGGGGGGTCTTCTTAGAAGGAGGCTGCTTATTTGAAGGCGCGGGCCTCATCTAGAAGTGCAAGGCTAGCGCATTCTAAGGAGCAGCCTCATCCTAAGAAGCCTTCCCCCCTTCCCCTACCCCCCTTTGCGCGCCGCCAAGATGAGCGGCGACGATCTACAAACAGCAGGCCGACCAGAGGACGCAGCAATGGCGAGCCAGGGGACGGGCAAGTCTGGGGCCCAGGCAGATGAACACGTACGCGCACACACACACACACACACACACACACACACACACACACACACACACACACACACACACATACACGTCTTAGCTGCTGCCGTTCCTCCTCCCCCCGTTCTGTCCCCCCTCCCCCAAACTTGGTGCCGTTAGTCCTCATGCAGGGAGTAATGTTCTTGCTCCCCCCATCCTTCCTGCCCTTTCCCCTCCCTCTCATCCCTCCACCACTCTTCCCCCCCGTTCGCATCCCAGTCCTGTTCATCGTTGTCGTAGGCCCCCACATCATAAGTTGCATGATTATGAAAAAATAGCTGCAATCCGTCAAATGACCAGCATGACGCTCTGTTATGCGTGAACTGTGATGAGAGATGCGTGAGTTATGTGCCCACCTATTGCGAGCGGAATATATTCCTGATCAAATCCAGTATCATTGTCGTCGCCGATATCATGAGCATCACACCACCAGCAGCATCGCCATCGTCAACAACCACATCACCATCCCCCCTTGACTAAGTCTCTATATTTCTTCATTACCGTCCTCACCCATCATCAGCAACTGTAGCATCGGCACCACCATCATCCGCATCATCAGCATCATCATTTTCATCATCACACTCATCATCGTCGTCATCATTATCACTGTCATCATCATCAGCAGGATCAGCATCATCAGCATCATCAGCACAATCATCATCAGCAGTAGCAACATCATCAACATCATCACAAGTCTGGCTCGTCGTCGGCCTTGTCCTATTTCCCAGCCTCATCCTCGACCTTGCCCTCCCCTCCTCCTCCTCCTCCTCCTCCTCCTCCTCCTCCTCCTCCTCCTCCTCCTCCTGCGCCACACCACCCTCACCGTCACCACCATCCCCCAGGCAGATCAAGAAGGCCAAGCGCGTCGAGACAGGCGCCTTGGAGCTGAGGGCTCTCGCGACGCCTGCTGCCCGTCCCTGGAACATGACGGGGGGGGGAGAAGCGGAAGAAGAGGTGGGGAGGAAGACCAAGAGGAGGAGGAGGAGGAGGAGGAGGAGGAGGAGGAGGAGGAGGAGGAGGAGGGCGAGGAGCATAAGGAGGGCGAGGGCGAGGACGGGGAGGGGGAGGGGTAGAGGGACGGGAGGACGAGGAGGAAGAGAGGAGGAAGCGCAGGAAGAAAGAGAGGACAAAGACGAGAAGAAGGGGGAGACGTCCAAGTCACAAGCGTCGACCAGGAAGAACAGCACGGAGTGGCTGCACAGGGCTGCAGCCGTGACGGCTCAGCGGAGGAGCCACTTGGCCTGCCGCGAGCCCTCACACCCATGGCCCTGCAGGCACTCGCGCCGACGGGCGGCGGCACTCCTGGGCGGGCCACCCCACGAGCCTGGCCCGCGAGGCCGCCCTCCAGCACCGCGGGGGCGCCCGCGGAAAGGAAGCGCAGGTCCTTCGGGAGCGCGCGTCACTGCTGGAGCGCAGGAGGAGCTGCCGCGGGGACGTCGAGCTCCGCGGGGGACAGCGAGCAGCTCGCCGACGCCGCCGCCAGGAGGCGGGGGAGGTGACCGTGTGGCGCCCCAAGGCTCGGCCAGCGCAGCCGATTGTTGTTGGAGCGCCACCAGGTCCTCATCCACGCCGCCTCACCTGGGAGGAGCTGCGCGGTGTCGCCGCCCTTGCCAAGACCCTTGCCGTCGTCCTTGCCCCTGCCGCGGTCCTGGCGCCGCCCTGCTGGACGCTCAGCTCGCCGCGCGATCGGGAGCGAGTCCGCCCACTCGTCGGGCGTCAGCGGCGAGGGAGGCGCCGTCGAGCCCTCGGCACGTCCTCTGTCACCCCCACGCACCGTCCAGCGCCGTCATGTCGTCCGCACTGCCGTCGAGCGCCATGACCGCGCCTCGGTTCCCGCCGCGGCCACGCGAGCGCGTGCGCCGCCGAGGGCCCTCGGAAGGCTGCACTCCCGCTGGCGGCGGCGGCGGGGCCGCCTCCGGAGCACGGAGCACCGCCACGGCGTTGGGAGTCACGTAATGGGGGGGCGATAAATGGTGGGCAGCGAGGGCTGCCCTGCAGGGCCCCTCAAGGGGGCATTTAGGGCCCTCAGGGCCCCTCAAGGGGCCAAGAAGTGCACTTTTCTTCCTCCCCATGTGTCGCCCACCATTCAGCGACGCCACCACGGCGGACCGGCGGATTCGCTCAGCCGCACCGAGGAGTCGCCCAGCAGCCCGATCGTCCGAGGGCCCTCGGAGGGCTGTGCTCCCGCTGGCGGCGGCGGCGGGGCGGCGGCGGGGCCGCCTCCGGAGCGCGGAGCACCGCCACGGCGGATCGGCGAATTCCCTCGGCCACACCGAGGAGTCGCCCAGCGGCCCGATCACCTGGGCCGCGCCACGTGGCCCCTCTGGCGGCGCTGCACGGGCGCTCTCCGCCGCCCCTTGCACCGGTGCGCCGCGGCAGGCAAGCTGAGCCAGCGAAGCGAGCTTGAACCAAATTCGGCCGACGGCTAGCGAGGGGGGAGGAGGGGAGGAGGAGGAGGAGGAGGAGGAGGAGGAGGAGGAGGAGGAGGAGGAGGGGAGGAGGAGGAGAGGATGAGGCGAAGGAGGAGGAGGAGGCGAGCGGGGGAAAGGAGGAGGAGGAGGAGGCCGACGACGATGACGAGGAAGATGACAAGAGGAGGGGAGGCGGAGGAGCAGGAAGAGGAGGAGGAGGAGAAGGAGGAGGAGGAGGAAGACAACGACGACGACTGCTAGCAAGGAGGGGAGGACGAGAGCAGCAAGAGGATGAAGTGGAGAGGGGGGATTCTGAGAAGGACACGGGCGAGCAGAAGGACCGGGTAAAGGAGGAGGTGTGGGGGAGGGTGAGGAGGAGGAGGATGAGGAGGAGGAGGAGGAGGAGGAAGAGGAGAAGGAGGAGGCGGAGGATTTGGAGGGTCACAGAGGGCAACGTCTGGACGACGTTTCTGCCTTCAGGACTCAGGATTCAAAAGGAGGGTGAGGAGGGTAAGGAAGAGGAAGAAGAGGAGTAGAGGCAGGAGGATGAGGACGAGTAGGGGGTTGGGAAGCAACGCTGGATGCGGAGGGAGGATGATGAGCAAAGGAGAGGGGAAGGTGTGTTCCTGAACGATTTGAAGAGGTCCTCGGGGTCTTCTGGGCTGGGTGGGAAGTGGGACGGAGTGTGAGGACGAGGTCGGGAAGCGAAAATACAACTTGTTCGCCTCCTGTTGTTGCTACTGCTCCTGCTGCCGCCAATCCTCGTCCTTTTCCTGCTCCTGACCACCCTCTCCTCTTTGAAACCGCGGCCCTCGCCTGGGCGCCCCGCACATCCGCCTCGAGAGCTCCGAACACTCACGCGCTCAGGTTGCATTTCTCGCCCCGGCGGCGCGCACGCCCTGCTCCGAAGTCCTCCGACTGCCACAGAGGATGAGGATGGGGCGCTTCCTCGAACACATGCGCAGGGCTCTCGTCGGCGACTTCCTCCAAGTCCATGGTCCGACGTATGAGCTAGCTCAGACAGGCCACGGATGGAGCTATGGGGCCACATGCGGACCCTACCCCTACCCCCCACGAACCCTACCCCTACCCCCCACGATTCCTGACGAGTGAACCCCACCCTCCCCCTCAGAAATCGTGGGGGGTAGGGGTAGGGTTCGCATGTGGCCCCCTAGGAGCGTGGCCCCTCTTCGAAAGGCGGCTGTCGCTTGAGACGTCTTCAACTCGTAGCATCAGAAGTACATTCGACGCGCCTAGGAAGGACGCGCGACTTCACCTGGGGTGCCCGTCGCTTGCCGTCTTTTACCGGTCGCCCGCCGCCCAGAAAGTCCCAACGTTCGGCCTCCGAGGCTCTCCTCGCGTCCTTGCCACCCGCCCTCAACATGTACAAGTGCTGAGCGTATGACAGCGCGCAGCAGTTACAAACACTGACCCAGGGGGGCGACTCTCTCTCGGAGGTTGATAGAACTCCTACCCTGACACGTCGATTAGCGAATTGGCCATATTCGGTTTGCGAGAGGGCGTCGCGGCCGTCATTTTTCGGGTCCAGGTCCGTCGGTTCCGGTCCCAGGCCATTTTCACTAAGGGGAGGTTTCCTAAAGGGAGGTTTGTCCATCGCCGACTCTCTTCTGCTTGCAGCCAGGGCGCTCGCACACGCGAAAGGGGGGGGAGATTCCTCCGAAGCGGCAGGGGGTTGCCGCGATGCCCACAGGGACCGGTGGTGCGGGGGGCCTGGGGCGGGGGGGTGCGCAGCGAGGCGCCCGAATGAGGAACACGCACTTTTCGAAAGGGGCTCGGTCGTTCTGTGGGTTTGAATGCGTTCCGCTACCCTTTTGGGCGGCGAGCCCCCCCGATGTTCCCCACGATTTTGGACGCGCGGGCTCGTTCTGTCGATCATGGCGGCTGGTCGAAGGAACGGGGCTCCAGGGTGGGCTCGGTCCCTGGCGCTTGGTCGACAAAATGCGACTGTGGTCGCGTTGAGGCCCGTCGCCTCTCTCGGGCCCTCCAAGGCCTTGCGGGGCGCGCGTTGGAGCTTTCGCCCCGATTCAGGTCCAGTTCCTCACAGGAGCACCTCCCGTTCCTTAGGCCGCGCGGTTCGGAGCTCACTGGCTCGACAATGCAACGGTGGTCGCGTTAAGGTCCAGCTCCTCTGTCGGGCCCTCCTTTTTCTCGCGGGGCGCGTGTCGGAGTTTTCGCCTTTATCCGAATGCAAAGATAGGGTCAGTAACTCCATTTCATCTCTGGAGCACCTCCCGTTCCTTTGGCCACGCGCGGGTGGGAGGAGGAAGTGGAAGAGGAGGAGGAGGAGGAGGAGGAGGAGGAGGAGGGAGAGGAGGAGAGGGAGGAGGAGGAGGAGGAGGAGGAAGAGGAGGAAGGAGTGGAACGAGAGGAGAAGGAGGAGGAGGATGAGGAGGATCGGGGAAGGAGTGGAAGACGTGCGTTAAATTCAAAAACCTTTCGGTCACTGTCGAGGAGTCACTGAAAACGTTGAACACGTATGCGAACTTCAAAATCCAATCGGCCACCGTTGAGGGTTCGCGTGAGTTTCCAGGCCAGCACGGCGACTTTTCCAGTGTGGACAACACAAAACTCGCCACGCGCGCGCGATTGGATGACCCACGCGCGGGCGTGTCACCCGAAGTCCCGTTGGTTACCGTGAAGGGCCCATTTCAGTTCCCAGGCCAGCACGGCGACTTTTCCATTGAGGACAGTACAAGACTCGCCGCGCGCGCGCCCGCGTGTGCGCGCGATCGGGTGACACACGCGCGGGCATGTCACCCGAAATTTCGCTGGCCACCGTTGAGGGCTCTTTTTAGCTGCCAGGACGACATGGCAACCTTTTCCATCGTGGATAATGAGGAACTCGCCTCGCGCGCGCGTCCGCGCGCGCGAACGCGCGCGTGGCGAACGTTGTATTGTCCACAACGGAAAAGTTGCCACGTTGGCCTGGGAACTAAAGTGAACCCTGAGCGGTGACCGATTGGATGTTGAAGTTCCCATCCTGGCCCGGAAAGTAAAGTGAACTTTTAATTGTGACCAACAGGATTTCGGGTGACACGCCCGCGCGTGTGTCACCCGATTGCGCGCCGCTCGCGGGCGCGCGTGTGGCGAGTTTTGTATTATCCACAATAAAAAAGTCGCCATGCGGGCTTCGAAATTAAAGCGGAACGCTCACAGTGACAAGCGGGATTTCGGGTAACACGCCCGCGCGTGCGTCACTTGATCGCCCGCGCGCGGACACGCGCGTGACGGTAACCGAATGGGTTTTGCAGTTACCATGGGTTTCATCGCACAAACGCAAGTTGAACGGTTCTGAAATTCAAATGGCGAGCGGCGCGCGCAAGTGACGCGCGTCACCCGCGCGCGTGTGGAGTTTGGCAGTGTCCATTCTCAAAGTCGCCACGTTGGCTTGGAACCTCACTAAAACCCTCCACGGTGCAAGATTTGATTTCCAGCGTCGCAGACTGTCTTCGTGGGACGATGGTAGCGCTTCTAGTACCGCGCTAAGCAATGGACGTTCTCTTCTGATTCTAGTTATATACACACATACGCATATATATACACACATATACGTAGGCGCGTCGTAACATGTGCGAGTTGCGTTCCTTGCGCGAGCCCCTGATGCGTTCGTTGTGACGTGCGAGTTGGGGCTCACATGTGCGTAACCAGATCGGACAGCGGCCAGGTGAATGCCCAGTCTCCCACGCGAGCCGTTGGCGTTTCTTGCGCAGTGCGATTGGGGGCCGCGCGCGGCACCCAATCGGAAAGTGGTCGCGTAAAAGGCCCCGTCCCCCACGCGAGCCCCTGGCCGTCCTTGCGCGGTGCGAGTGGGGGCCCACGCGCGGAGCAGAAGTGGAAAGCGGCAGCGTCAAGGCCCCGTTCCCAGCCCGAGCCCCTGGCGTTCCTGACGCGTTGTTCGCAGGCTGCAGTTGCGCGTTCGATTTTGGAACGGCGGGGGGGGAGGGGGCGGGCGTTCCTTGGTAGTTGGGCAGAGGGGGCGGGGGTCGAATCGCCAAAGCAAATCGTGGCGGAACCCCGCCAAAAAAGTGTTCGGCCGTTCCTTCGGATTTCATGGACTTACTTTCAGAAAAGGATGCGATCCCTATTTGTCGTTCCTTAGGTTCGTGCTTTGACTGTATTGCACCATCGATGATGCCCGTTACTCCACTCCTCTCCCTCCTCCTCCTCCTCATCCTTTTCCTCCGCAAGCGATTGCGACTTGCGGTCCGAATCTTTGCGCACCAGGGAGACCGAACCCTCACTCACACCATGCCCTCGGCTCGTCACGGCGCCCCCTCCATCTTCTAACAATGTTCTCGCATATTTCATTGATGGCTTTCCTTCACCACTGGCGGCTGTGCTTCACCACCCACTTTCTCCCAATTGTTCCTCCTCCTCCTCCTCCTCCTCTTTTTCCTTTTCCTCTTCCTTCTCCTCCACCTCCTCGTCCTCCTCTTCAGGCCACGCTCCACCTCCTCCTCCTCCTCCTCCTCCTCCTCCTCCTCCTCCTCCTCCTCCTCCTTGTCCTCCTCCTCCTCCTTCCGCTGCCGCCGCCGCCTCTGCCACTGCCCCTCCTCGGGAGGCGACGGCGGCTCGGGGCTGCGCCGCGCCAAGACCGTGGAGCAGACCTACCAGAAGAAGACCCCCGTGGAGCACATCCTCCTGCGTCCGGACACGTACGTCGGTTCCGTGGAGGGCCTACACCTTGCTCAGAGTTGAGAGAGTCTTGCGCCAAGGAATTGGACTTCACTCGAAGCGTAGGTCCAGATGCGCGGAAGTTCTACTGAACGGAAGGGAGATCCGAGGGAACGCCAAGGGTCCAGCTCAGATTCGTGATTTTCGAAAACAATATCTGGAGCCCGTGAAATTGCATGTTTTTGTCCTACGACTTCTGATGAGCGTGCACGACGGCCCTGGCTCTGGTCTCGGGGGTTCGTAGAGGGAGAGTTCTCCCAAGGTGGGTCCGAACGATCCCGGCTGGATGCTTACACGTTATTCCTCCAGGGGCCGCTTTGAGCGATTTCCCTCCAACCCCACTTTTGCCCTTGCCCCACCGCCCTGAGATCCAACGTTGCAAAGAAAATGCAGCACCGTAGAAAATCACGCTGGAGCCCTAGACCACATCTTTCTGCGCCATTGTTCAAACCAGATGGATCTGTGAGGGTATCGGGGTCCGAAGCCTGTCGGAAACGCCCGCTGAAAAAAATCATAACGCCAGGATCTCAGGTTGTACGCTCCCCGGCGCTCGGGTCGGCTCAGTGGGCGTTCGGCTCGGTCTGGCCAGTCCACTGCGGCAAGTTCGGATTGGAGCGCCGGCACGAAACGAAGGAGCTCCTGGAGGAGTGGGGTCTTGGTCGGGGGCGGAAAAGAGGGGGGTGATGACTAGGGGGGGGTGGACGTCATGGCGGGGGCCATGATATTTCCCCAGATTTCATGACGCCTCTTCTTGTTTCATTACGTCCCTGGCCCCCCCGCTGGGCCGCGCACATGCCGCCGGTCATGATTTGCACCCCCCCCTCTTGGACACCCCCCTCGTGGCCGCTCCCGAGAGTGGGGTCTTGGCGCGGGTTTCCGCGGCTTCCCAGCCACGCGCAGAGGGGGTGAACGCACGGGGAGCGGCCGCCCGAGCCTGGCCGTCGAGGACCAAAGAAGTGGGCAGCTCTTCGTCGGCGGAGGGACGGCGGGAGTAGAACATCCTCCCTCTCTCCCTCCCCCTCGATGACGACGCCGACAACGACGACCATAATCAGAGCGAGAATTACCTACCCCGCTTTCGCTTCCAGGCAAAACCAAGTCATACCACGCGCCTCCTCGTCAAGCGGCCTGACCAGTACAGGCCGTGGTTTGGCATCGCTTGGTATCTCTTGGAAGCGAGGGTGGTCAAAAGCGAGGTAGGTTTGTTTGCCCCCTACTCTCTCCCTCCCCCTCGATGACGACGCCGACAACGACGACCATAAGCGGGGAGGACGAGAAGGAGGAGGAGGAGGATGAAGAGGATGGGGGACACGTGGAGAAGGAGGTAACGGGGGCGGCTCCGCGCACGGATGTCGGCGGGAGCAGAAGCCGGCCGCGCGCAGAGGGGGGCAGGGGGAGGGGGGAAGGCCTCACAGCAGCGCCCCTGCGTCTCAGAAGGCGCGGGCCTTGTCTGAAACGACGCGAAGATCGGGACAAAATCGGATCGGGATAACTCGAAATCTCTGAGAATCGGCGGGTTTGGAGGATGTATTGGGCGCCGCGGCCGCTCCAGAGCGTTCCGGAACGCTCTGAGAGCGCTCCGGAACGCTCTGGAGCGATTTATCCCGATCCTAGCCTTGTTTTATTGTCTGTAGATGCAGGGCCCGCGCCTTCTGCGAAGCAGCCTCCTCCTAAGAAGCCTTCCCCCCATACCCCTACCCCCCGTGTGCGCGCCGCCAAGTCTCGGGTCCCCGGGCCCTTCTCTCGGGGGACCGTCAAGACAGCTCGGGATGAAACCCAGATCCCATGGGCAACCCTCGGGATCCAGGACCCGCTCCCCTCCATGATCCAGGACCCGTGTTGTTCTCTGTCTCCACGCCAGGAGAAGGAGTGCGGACAAAATTGCCGAGTCGAGACCAGGCGGGTTGCCTGCGTGCAAACGCGGAGCAGGCTCTCTTGCGCCAGGACGCCCACGCGGGCAGCTACGCGTGTTCGGAGAGGCTACCAGCCCCTCAGACCCGTTCATCGCGAGGAAATCACGACGGGTGTCTTCCTCACGCCAGGGACCGAGGAGCTCCACCAGCCCCCCCGCCCGACCCCCCTGGGCGTCGACGCCACCCACTACCACCCCCCCCCGCCAGGGCCCGCCAGGGCCCCGCAGGGCCACAAGGCTGGAAGGAGGAGAAGGAGGAGATGAACACAGCGTCGTCTGCTCGTCCCAAACCGGCCAACACGTGGTCGGCTTGAAATTGCTGCGTGAGCGGAAACTCATCACTCTGACAAGACGCGGATCAGTTGTTCGCAGCCAGATTCCCCGATTAGGGTTTGGGAGACCCAATGTTCGTCCTCGACATCATCCTATTCTTCTGGGTGTCATTTTCCTCGCCCTCTTTATAATATCATCCTGCCTCATCTCGTCTTCCGCCTTATATTCCCCATCTCTGTCCGTAGGCACGTTGGCTCAAGCCATCCGTGCTTTGAGAGTTGCCTAGATTGCAAACTCTTGCTTTAGGCTGCGCCTGCAAACAGGAAGCGTGTACCATCACCCATGACGGAGGCATCTTTTGGCCTGGCTGGCAAGGACTTCGTGATCGTGGCCACGGATTGCCAGCAGGCGTTTAGCATAATCAAGATGAAAGACGACGCCGACAAGATCACCGTGGTCGAGAATAAGCTCTTCGCTGTGACCGGGACCGGAGCCGACGCCACGTATTCGGTTGCGCTGCCGCGCATGTTTGCCGTCGAGCTTGGAAGCAGCGCGGCAACGCTATTGCGTAGCATGGCAGGCGTTGCATCGTCCCCATGATCGAGACCCCACGGCGCCGTGACTTGCGACGTCGAGGGAGGATCGGGGTTCACAGACTGATAGGGCATCTTCTGGGCCACCTCTGGGCCCATCGGGGGTCCTTGGCCAGTTCGCGAAGCTCGTGGGCCGTCCTGCGGCGATCTCGCGCAGTCTCGGGGCCAAACGCTGTAGATCACTGCGCCGTTCTGGGGCGACCTGGGCCGCTCGGGGCCTCCCGGCGCTTGCCCGAGAAAGGAGTTCGGAAAGGCTTCCGGGATCGAAGCGCTCTGCGATTCTTCAAGTAACACTGATCAACCCGTGGTGTTATAGTTTTTGACCTCGTCAGGTCTTCCTGGGGGACGTATTTTGGTTTCTTCGGGTCTCCTGGGTGCATCTTTCGATTTGACCGTGACCTGTCCAGGTCCTCTCAGGCTTGAGAGCGCCTTGGGACCATGTCGGGTCTCTCTTCTTGCAGGCGTCTTGGGGCGCCTTGGACGGTGGCTGGGCCGTCAAGCGCGCTGGGCGGATGTGGGGCGATGCGCGCGCAAGGTTTCTGAAAGGCTTTGTATTCATGATGCCTGGGTGGGGTAGCATCCATCACTCCAGCCCGCTGCATGCTGTGTGGAGATGCGCTCGATTTACCCGCTTGTGCTGCGATCCTGCATCCGGCGCTGGAGACGAGAGGGTCATGGAGTCCGTTCGCGTGGGAGGTCCAAGCTGTCCGTGGCTCTGTGGCGCAGCCAAATTCTGGAGATGGCATGCCCCCCCCCCCCCACTGGAAGCATCGTCTGACCGTTCGGTGATTCGCGGCCTCCCCTCTTGCTCCTCATCACCATCACCCTCTTTCCTTTTTATTCCCGACAAGTGAGGCTGCAAAACACCATAATTCCGTACGTGCCAATGCGAACATTCGGCCATCACGAGGGGCCGTAGCATACGCCTGTCACTGCAAGCGCGGTAGCGTATTTCATGGGGTACATGAATGAAGACCTTAAGCTCCACACGCTCAGGAATGGCCTGGAGCTCACCACCAAGGCAGCAGCCACATGGACCAGGACCAACCTCGCGCAAGCGCTCAGGAAGAACCCGTTCCAGGTGGACATCCTCGTGGCCGGCATCGACGAAGATGGTCCCGGGCTTTACTTCTTGGATATGTACGCGAGCATGGAGAAGGTAAACAAGGCCGCCCACGGCTATGGCGCGTCGTTCACGTTCGGCCTGATGGACCGCTTCTGGCACCCAGAGCTCACGGAGGAGGAGGGGATTGCCCTTATCAAGAAGTGCATCAAGGAGCTCGAGGTGCGCTTCCTGGTTAACTTGGGCAGGTGCTCGGAGCACGCCAACTTCACACCTGTACCAGTCGGCGGCGAGCGAGGGGGGGAAGTGAAAAGGGGCGGGCCTTCTCAGAAGGCTCGGAAGTCCCCAGGCCTTCTGACAAGTGTTCGAAGCCCTCCCCGAAGAAGGCCTTCTCCTTCTCACTTCCCCCCCTCGCTCGCCGCCGAACCAATCTTGGCCAGGCCAGGCCCAGGCCCAGGACTGCTGCGCGCGCCTCCCTGGCCGGGCTGGGCGAGTGCGCACTCCGATCCCGGGCCAAGGCTGGGCTGGGCCAAGATCAACGGCTTCGGACGAGCGGGGGATGGTACATAGGGAAAGGGATTCGCGACGTGGCCGCCCGGGGGATCCTGGCCCTTTCCCCGGGGCCGGTTTCTCATCTCGAATCGGTGTTCGATGTTCCGGGGGGCCGGCGAGGGCCCCGGGAGGTTTGGCTACCCTGATACGCCCATGTCAACGCAACATGTACGTCGCTCAGAACGTCCGTGTGTAGCACGCTGCGTGTTGACCCAGCACGCGTTGGCCCACGTTTTGGCGAAAGTATCGTGCCAGACCTACGTTTCCAGTCTACGTGCCGAGCTCCGTATTAACATGCTACGGGCTGCGTGTTGCGCACCAGGGCAGCTAGGCGAGGGACCGAACCTCCTCAGGTTTGGGCGGGCGGTAATGGGGGGTGACCTAGAGGGGGGGGGGGGGGCGAAGAAAAGTGCCCTAAAGGAGCCTTTTGCTTCACCCCCGATGTCGGTCCCCCCCCAGTGCCACCTGCCCGACACCCCCAGGTACAGCTGCAAGATCGTCGACAAGGACGGCCCCAGGGTGGTGGAGCTGTACGACGACGACGGGCGCCTGAAGCCGTAGGGGTGGGGGCGCCAGGCCGCGCGGGCGGCCGCTCCCGCGGCGCCTCGCCGGAGGGGCGCGGCGGGGGGGCGCTCGGCGGCCAGCCCGCGCCCTTCCCCTCCCCATCCAAGGGGGGGGAGAGCAGAAGGGGGGGGAGGGGGGCGAGGAGGAGGGAAGGGAGGGGGAGGACAAGCCAGGTGCGCTCGCGTCAGCCTGATTTACCATGGCGTAGATCGCCTCTCTGTTCGCACAGTCGGATGTCGCAGCATGGCACAGCATCACATGGCATAGCATGGTGTTGAAGACCAGCGCGTAGCATGACATAGCATGGCGTGGCGACGCCCCGGGGGCTCCTGCGGCCCAAAAAATCAAAGAATTGGCACCGAGTGTGCAATCCCGTCCGATGGTTTCTTCGGGGGGGCATGATTTATATTTGGGGTCCTACTTGGGAGGACCGAGAACCATGCCGTGGCATGGCACTGGAAGTCATGACGCCAGCGCTGCAGCGGGAGCATGATTCAGAACGAGCGGAAGCGCGGAAATGAGGCCAGCGCTGCAGCGGGAGCACGATCGGAACGAGCGGAAGCGCGGAAATGAGGCCAGCGCTGCAGCGGGAGCACAATTCGGAACGAGCGGAAGCCCGAAAATGAGGCCAGCGTTTCAGCGAGAGCAAAATTATGAAAAAAAATCAGCAATAATCCATTTCCTGGGAATCCTGTGTGTAAAAAACAGTACGTGTAGAGGGGCCGCACATCTTCTGGACGGAATCAAGGGAGAGAGGACAGTAGTATTCATATTGTGTAATTGTGGAGGGAGGAAGGAGGGGGGGAGGGGCAGAAGGGGGAGGAATGAGGAGGTGGGAAAAACAGAGGAGAACAAGGAGGGGGGCGGAGGAGGAGGTGGGGGAGGAGGCGTGCCTCCATCCCTCTCCGGCAATCCTGGCTTGATCCTCTCCCCCCAGGGCTCATTTCGATTCTTCCGCTTCGATTCGATTCGATTTCGATGGCTTCCGATTCCGATCCGGTTCGACTTTGGATTCCGATTTTCATTCGACTTCTCAATTCGGGCCTTACTAGCCTGCCGATTTCCGCCGATTCGACTCCTCCCGACTTTGCTGCCGATTTCCGCTGATCCGATCCATTTCGATCGCCAATCCGACTTACGTCGAGTCGATTCCCCCTCTGCCCCTTCCCCCTTCTGATCGGAGGCACCGTCAGGGGGGGAGGATGGGCTCCAGGGGAGGGACGCCTTTCTCGGAATCGAGGTTCGAGGTTTCCCCCCACCCCATCCTCCTCTGCCCCCCTTCCTCTTCTGCTCGGGGGCACCGTCGGGGTGGGGGATAGGCTCCAGGGGAGGGGGCGACTTTCTCGGAAGCGAGGTTCAAGGTTTTCGGGCATCTTCGTCGGCCCTCGGTGGTTTTCCAGCCTTGGGCCTCGAGGTGCGTTCCGGCAGCTGCGTCTCGATGAAGGGCGTTCTGGGGCTGCTCGGATCGTCTCGACCGGCCATCGGAGATCCGAGGTATGGCCCGAAAACTAAGGGGGATCGGCTCAGGGGCAGGCCCATGAACGCTCGGTTTCGTTATCGGGGGCCAATCGCCAATCTATCGGCGAGATGTGTCTATGTGCCTGTGCGTGTGCGTGTGTTGTGTGTGTGTTGTGTGTATTTTGTGTTCTGTGTTCTGTGTGTGTTGTGTGTATTGTGTATGGTGTGTGTGTTGTGTGTGGTGTGTGTGTGTGTTGTGTGTGACTGTGTGCGAATGTGTGTGTGTGTGTCTGTGTCTTTATATGTGTCCGTGTCTGTGTCTGTGGTCCCTCCCCCCAAGATCATACATCTCATTTCGGAGCGCGTTCCTCCTCATCTCCCTCGTCCTCCTCCACCTCCTCCTCCTCCTCCTACTCGTCGTCCTCATCCTCGTCCTCCTTCTCCCCCTCCTCCTCCTCCTCCTCCTCCTCCTCCTCCTCCTCATCCTCCTCCTCCCCCTCCATTCCCTACTCCCACTCATTATTTCCCGTGCTCCTCAAGATCATTATCCACTGGTCATGTTGATGATGATGCTGCTGCTGATGATGATGATGATTAGTAGTAGTCGTAAGAACAATGATGATAATAATATCACTATTATGAATAGTCAGCCTCCAGCTGGGGGCTGACAACTTTGAACAACGAATGGAACATCAAAAAACGCATTGGGTTCAATGATACCGAAGAAAAACAATCAGGGCTAGGGGGCAATAGGGCTATAGGGCTATTACGCTATAGGGTTATAGAGCTATAGGGCTATAGAGTTGTAGGGCTATAGGGCTATTGGGCTATAGGGCTATAGGGCTATAGAGCTTAGGGCTACAGGGCTATGGGGCACCCCCGGGCAACCCCCGGGCACCCCCGGGCACGCCCGGGCATCCCCCGGGCGCCCAGGCCCCGGGCCCCCCCGGGCCCCCGGGCACCCAGGCGTGCAGCGAAAATCGGCGACAAACCTAACCCAACCATACGAATCCGCTAGGACCCCTACAGAGGCAAGCTCTAATTGGGGAGATACAGAGGCCTGCAACACCTCGCTATAGGAAGCTGGGCCGTGCGAGAGCTGGGCGAACCAGGGCCCCTGAGAAATCCGGGCGTTGCAGCCGAGGCCTTCGAATGTTCCAGCCGGAGCAGAGCGGAGAACGGAGTAGATGTCGACCCACGGCTGCAGCTCTCTCGAGTGCGCCGATGCCCATCGAGCAGCATCCCAAGCTTTGACCTGCAGCCTCGAGAGGCCTGAGATCGGTCTCCTGCTCGAGCCAGCTTCGAAGCTTCAGCATCACTCTGCAAGACTCCTTGGCTGCTCCGACGAACGGCTTCTGGACTAAGCCTCGAGACTCGGATGATTCACGAAAACGTCCCCGTTTAAGAGGGGGGGGGCCGAGCGAACCCGTGCCTGCCTCTCCGGGGCGCCCGGCCCTCATGCACCCAGACGCGCTGGGGCCCACCCGCACGCGAATGCCGAGGCGGCGCGGCCTTTCGCGCGTGTGCTGCGTCCTCGCGCGAAGCCGGCCGCGCGCGTGCGCTTTCCGCTGCTCGCCGCAGAGGCCCCCGGGAGGTCCCCCACGGAGCCCCCCACGTCAACGACGGCCTGAGCGTGGCCACGGCGACCCGGGCGGGGCGGACGGACGGCGAAGCCCGCCGTGCACGCGCGTTGCCATTCTCTTGTCGCGGCAGAGGCCTCCGGAGGTCCCCCTGGAGCCCCTCAGAGCACGGACGGCTTGAGAACGACCACGGAGGCCCCAGAGGGGCTGCGGGCCCCGCCGCCGTCGCCTTGAGGGCGCGCGCCGGCATGCTCGGGACGCGGTATCGGCGCCGGGCCCGTCCCGTCTGCCCCTTTTGAAGCCACCCCGAGCCCCCAGAACCACTGGCGCGACGCAGAAAAACGGGCTCGACGGCGTGCACATTCGCGCGTCAGCTGCCTGCGTAAGGTCGCGTGTAAGTGCCCTCGCTTCCTCTGTAGCGCGCCGTGTTGGCGGCCTGCGTAAGCCACCGCGTGAGGTCACTATGCAATCTCGCGTAAGACCCAGCTCTTGTAGCCGCCTACCTGAAGACCTGACTCGCCTGCCTCTTGCAGGACGCAAGCCCCTCAGTCCCTCGCTCCCTCGAGGATATCAGCTCTCCCCCCATTCCCCAGCAAGACCTCGCCCTATGTCTCCTGGCTTCGCCTCGCGTCTCTCTCCTGTAAATTGTGTTCGGCCTTGGTGTCTCCCGACCGCGTTGGACCGTTCCCAGCGCCACAAGAACTCACGATGACGATGACGATGACGATGACGATGACGATGACGTCATCATCATCGTCATCGTCATCGAAGTCGGTCCCCGTACCCTTCCAGGCGCCATCCGGACCCTTCTCCGAGTCGAGTCCAGCTGTGGTGGCCAGGCGGGCTGTGCTTGTCGAGCCACAGCGGCCAGCAGGAGGAGGAGCTGGATGCTCTCCTCTGTCTCCCAGCATGCGGTGTGCACCTCGCTTCCGGCCTTCCCTGGAGAATGTCAGCCCCCACCCACGTCCCATCTCGCCCCGTATCCCGCTCCTCCCATCCACGCCCCTACGTTCGAGGATGCCAGCAACTGAAGCCGCGGAGGCGCACCGCGTTGCGAGCGCCTCGCTTGGTGCGCGGCACGCAAGACGTTAGCACGGGCGGAGAAATTACTCGTCATCTTCCTCGTCACCCACTCAGCATTATAGAACCCTCATCATCGTCCTCGACTATCCATCCTTGACTCGTCATCTTCGTCCTCACCTCGGCGTCTTACGCAGGCACATGGTGCAATGTCGCCATGCGGGGCGTGGTGACCTCCCCCGTCAGCATCATCGCCCTCCATCTCACATACTCTTATTGCTCTGCTCCCCCTCTTCTGTCTCCTCCTCCCCTTCCTCCTCCCCCTTCTACAATGAAGACGCTGCAATCAGGAACAGTGCAGGTTCGGAAGGGACCGGCTGTTCCTTAGCTCCTTCCATGGCTACTCATCTAGCGCTCCTCTTGGTGTGTCCGCGTGTGTATATGGATATCATGGCAGGGGTAGTACACGCTACCAGGTCCCATGGTCCCCTCCTCTTTCGGCGGCGAGCCCAGGGGGGAAGTGAGAAGGGGCCAGCTTTCTCAGAAGGCTCAGAAGCCCCCCTGCCTTCTAAGAAGTGTTCTACGCCTTCCCCGAAGACACAGAAAACCTATCAGAAGGCTGGAGGGCTTCTGAGAAGCCCCGCCGCCTTCTCAGAAGTCTTTCTCCTTCTCATTCCCCCCCTCGCTCGCCGCCGATCCTCTTCTCTCGGGACGCCCCCAGGCCCCCCCCCCCCTCGTCTGCGTACATTTCTCGGGCCTTGATGCGAGAAGCCCCCTCTCGTCCTGGCCCCCCCCCTGCTTCGGCGCACCCGATACCTCCTGCGATCTGTGTATGTGTGTGTGTGTGTGTGCGGCCAGGGGGCACGTCAGTCTGACTTGGTTCACGACCGCTGCCAGGACCAACCACTGGTGAGAACGTCGAACGAGAGATGTCGCCGCGCCGTTTGTTCCGACGCGCGGCCTTGCGTCTTGGGGGGGCGCCTCGACCACCCTGGCAAACGTCGCCTCGGGCGCAGGGCTTGCCATGGGTTTGCCGTGGGTTTGCCGTGGTGTCGGCGTCGTCCACTCGGGCGCGTGCACCCCAGCAGGATATTTCAGAAGACGCCTGCAGTTAGTCGCCGCCGCCCCCTGCACCTTTCGGGGCCGCAGGGCGCGCGTGGTCGGTGGTCGATGCAGGGCTCGGCCGGCCGCGGTTTGAGCTCTCATTCCCCGAGTTGTCGAGACGACTGGGGGGGAACCAGGGGTTCAAGATATGTAGGGGGCTGTATTGGGGCTCCTCTTTGAGCGGGTTGTTATCATGGGCCGTCGTGGGGCGATCTTGGGGTTATCTGAGAGCGGCTTCAATGACTATCAGGCCCGACAGGCGAATAAACACGCCGAGTCTTAACAGCAATGAATCATGACCTTGTTTTTTTTCATTATGTGTGCTTCTTATTGGTGGGACGTGTGGGACAAATTTGGCCTTCTCATGCCTCTCCTCGTGTCACATGTGTGTACTCTTTCCGCCTCCTACTGTTCCGTTTCCCATCCACTTCTTTTTGAAGTTCTTCCTCCACCACCCTTTTGTTCGCTACTCGACATCCTCTCCCTCGCCCTCATCCATAGTTACATGCCCATCTGTTACCCCCCATGCACACCTCAACGTCCTTCTGAGCTTTATCAGTCTTCTCCGCCGCCTCATTCATCTCTGCCTACCCTACCCACGTGATCGGGATCAGGGCCTTCGATCGCCCTGTGGTAGAGGATCCCAGCCACATCGGGATCGACGTTTACCGTACCAGGTCATGTATTGGAGCGAGGATCAGGCCTGGACCTGTACTGGTAGATATCCAATCGAGGTCGGGATTGAGCTGTGTTCACGGTAGCCTGGATTGGGGCAGTGATCTTTTCGAGATCGGAGATGTTGTTAAGGTGGAGAAACAAGACGACAACCTGTGGATCTGGAACAGCCAGAAGGAGGAGATGGACTACCGCAGTATCACATATGTGCCGGCCCTCTACAAGATTTTCGACGAGATATTGGTGAATTCAGCTGACAATCTGCAGCGGGACAAGACCATGAATTACATCAAGGTTGAGATCGACACGAAACAGAAACGCATCAAAGTCACCAACAATGGCAAAGGCCTGCCTATTGCAATTCACAAGGAGCACAAGGTATATGTGCCAGAGCTTGTGTTCGGGCATTTGCTCACCAGCGACAATTACGATGACACGGAGAAGAAGGTGACAGGCGGCCGTAATGGTTTCGGCGCCAAGCTCACAAACATCTTCAGTACCCGTTTCATCGTGGAGACCGCTGGGGGCGGCAAGCGCTACTCGCAGAAGTGGACCAGCAACATGAGCAGGAAGGAGAAGCCAGATATCAAGAAGTACACCGGCGAGCCGTTCACAAGCGTAGAGTTCTGGCCCGACCTGCCAAAGTTCGGCATGTCCGAACTGGAGGAGGACACCGTTGCGCTCATGCGCAGGCGCGTCTACGACATGGCAGGCACAAGCGGCGAGCGCTGCGCCGTGTTCCTTGACGGCAAGAAGTTGTCGGTCAAGAGCTTCGTGGACTACGCGGCGCTCTTCCACTCGGCGGACACCTACGTGCACGCGAAGGTGGGCAAGCGCTGGGAGCTGGTGGTGGCCAAGTCGGACGGAGAGGGGTTCCAGCACAACTCCTTCGTCAACGCCATCAGCACCCCGAAGGGGGGTACCCACGTGGCCCACGTGGTGGACCAGCTCGTGGATGCCATCCAGGCCAAGGCCAAAAAGGAGGCGGGCAAGGGCACGGAGATAAAGCCTGTGCACGCCCTGGGCTCGGAAGACCCTGATCATCTGATCGTGGCCTGGCTGGGCTACTGAAAGAGCCGAGCCGCCGATCGATCCGGATCGGGGCGGGTCCGGTCGATCGTTCTCTCGATCAGCAGGGTAGTCCACGCTCTGTGATGCACCCGGCCGGCTCGAGCAGGATCAAGATTGGGACCGTGGGTGAACCGCGACCGGGGAGGCCTCTCAGGTCAAGAACCAGCTTTGGGTGTTCATCAATTGTCTCATTGAGAACCCAGCCTTCAGCTCGCAGACCAAGGAGCAGATGACGCTGAAGGTGTCCAATTTCGGCAGCAACTGCCCCATTAGCAAGGCCGTTGTGGACGAGATCGTAGAGAAAACCGACGTCGTGGCTGCTGTGATAGCGGAGTCCCAGGCCAAGATGACGGCGCAGATGGACAAGATGGGGAAGGCGGGCGCGCGCGGCAAACGGGTGCTCGGGATCCCGAAGCTGGAGGACGCCAATGACGCCGGCGGCAAGCACGCGGGCGATTGCACCCTCATCTTGACAGAGGGGGACAGCGCCAAGGCGCTGGCCGTCGCTGGCCTGGCCGTGATTGGGCGTGACAGGTACGGCGTATTCCCTTTGCGCGGGAAGCTACTGAACGTAAGGGATGTGTCTCAGAAGCAAGTTGCCGAGAATAAGGAGATCATGGCCATCGTCAAGATCCTTGGTCTCAGCTTTGGCCAGAAAGGCGACCAGAAGAAAATGCGGTACGGATCCGTGATGATCATGGCAGATCAAGATTACGATGGGTCCCATATCAAGGGTTTACTGATCAACTTTTTCCATTTTTGGTGGCCCGACCTCCTGAAGGAGGGTGGCTTCGTGAAGGAGTTCGTGACGCCAATTGTCAAGTGCACCAAAGGTCCCAACGTCAAGACGTTCTTCACACAGAACGAGTACGAGGAGTGGAAGAAAGAGCACGAAGGAGAGCCTGGTTGGCAGATCAAGTACTACAAAGGCTTGGGTACGAGCACTGCTGCTGAAGCCAAGGAGTACTTCAAGGCCATGGAGGAGCACCGTCTTGACTTCGAGTGGAAGTCCACAAAGGATGGCGAGCTAATCGACATGGCTTTCAGCAAAACGCGTGCAGATGACCGAAAGTCGTGGATGAACAACTACGAGGAAGGATCCTACGTGGATCACTCCCAACCAACCCTGACGTACCAGGACTTTGTGAACTTCGAGTTGGTGCAGTTCTCCAAGTACAGCGTCATGCGCAGCGTGCCTTCGGTGATGGACGGCTTCAAGCCCACGCAGCGCAAAGTGTTATTTTGCTGCTTCAAGCGCAACATGCGAAGCGATGTCAAGGTCGCACAGCTCGTGGGCTACGTCGGGGAGCACAGTGCGTACCTGCCGTCGGCCTGAAGATCGCCTCACAGACCTCTTCTCGCGCGCTCTCTGACCAGGATTTCGGGGCAGTCCAGCTCTGGCGAGGAGGGCGCCACATGAGCCGCAGATTTCGGCCAGCGTCAGCTCCAAATGGATGCGATGTAAAAATATTAGGCTAGCAACTAGGCTAGCAAAGTCGGTGGTGTATTGGCACGAGCGATGCCTGGTTGCGTGACGATGTCGTTGACGGTGATGTGCGACGATGACGCACGCAAGCAAACAGGCAGGCAGGCAGGGAGGCAAGCAAGAACTCCGCAGGCTGGTGCTTCGCAGGTCGCCTGGAGAGGCGGGTCGAGAGATGTCCAGAACCGTGGCGTCCCCATCCATTGCTAACATAACGAACTCGGCGCTCATATCGGCAACGACCTCCCCAAAGACAACCCCCTTCCAGTCAGAACCTCCTTCTTCCTGCCCCCCCCCGTCGCTGCCCGCTTACCAACTCCTCATTCAGACCCCGCCTTGCCCCCCCTCCCCCCCCCGCCTCTCGCGCGCCCAAACGCCCCTTTTTGAGACCCCCCCCCGAGAACATGCTCCACCCCCCAAAGCACCATCCGTTATCACCCTTCCATATTACCCCTCTCCGCCCAAACACCTCTGGCCAACACCTCTCTGTTACATCCAGCTCCGCCACGACAACGCTCACCAACACCCCTGTCGACCACGCCTCTCTGCCCAAACACCCCTGGCCAACACCTCTATCTGGCACCGCACTATGCCCCGACACCTCTCGCCACCGGCCCCTATCGACCACCCCGCTCTGCCCCCCGCCCCCCCGCCCCGAGAACACCGCCTCTGCTGCCCTCCAGGGCCATCTTGGAACCGGAAGGGGCCGCATCGGGCCGTCTTGAAGCGCTGAAGGATCGGGCCGCGTGGACGATTCTGCCCGCGCAGCGGCGCCGCATGCGCGAACCGCGGCAATTCGAGGCAATCGGGGCCACCAGGGAGCCATCTTGGGGCCACCTGGGGCCGTCTCAGAGCCCTCCTTAGGAACATCGTGACGCCATCTTGGGCCACATCGGGCCGTCTTGGAGCGCTGGAGGCCCTGGCTGCGTGGAGGATGTCGTCCACGCAGCGGTGCCGCATGCGTGAACCCCCTGGCTCTTGGAGGCAGCTGGGGCCATCTCCCCCGTCCCGTCCAAAGACCCCTTTTCCTGTCCCCAACTCGCCCACTTCCCACCAAAGACCCCCCTTCCCGTCCAAAGACCTCCCTTCCCGTCCAAAGACCTCCCCTTCCCCGTCCAGAGACCCCCCCTTCTCGTCCAAATATCCCCCCTCCCAGTCCAAAGACCCCCCCTTCCCGTCCAGAGACCCCCCTTCCCGCGAAAAAAAACTTCCCGTCCAAAGACCCCATTTTCCCGTCCAAAGACCACACCTTCTCGTCTGAAGACCTCCCTTCCCATCCAAAGACACTCGCTTCCCATCCACCCCCCCTTCTCGTCCAAAGACCTCCGCTTTCATCTAAAGACCCTCCCTCCCTATCCAAAGACCAAGCAGCGACACCGCAAGCGTGACCCTGGGCTGTTGGAGGCAATTAAGGCCATCTCGTGGCCATCTGGGCCCGTCTTGGAGCCCTCCACGAACAGCTTGACGCCATCTTGGGCCGCATCGGGCCGTCCTTGAGCGCTCCAGGCCCAAGCTGCGTGGACGGCTTTGCCCACGCGGCGGCGGCGCATGTGTAAACTGGGACTCTTGGAGGCAACCGGGGCCGTCTGGGAGCCGCCATGGGGCCATCTGGGGCCGCTGGAGCGCCCAACCCTTGTCCTCCTCCTCGCCCCCGCCATTGCCCTTGCCCTCCTCCTCCCCCTCCCCCTCCTCCTCCTCCTCCTCCTCCTCCTCCTCCTCCTCCTCCTCCTCCTCCTCCTCCCTCCTCCTCCTCCTCCTCCTCCTCCTCCTCCTCCTCCCCCCGGATGGTCCTGGAGCGCTCGAGGCCCAGGCTTCGTGGACGGTGTTGTCCATGCAGCGGCGGTGCATGCGAGAGCCGCGGCCCACGCCGTCGCGAAGCCGTCTTGGGAGCCTCGGGGCCCGTCTTGGAGCCCTCCAGGGCCGCCTGGGAGCCATCAGGGGCCGCATCGGGCCGTATGGTTCCAAGAGATGGCGGCGGGGGCCCACGGCGGGAGGGGCTGGAGCCCTCGGGGTCCCACAGGACTCCTGGGGCGGTGTGCGTGGGGCCTCTGGGGGAATTGCGGATGGGTCCACTGGGAGAAGTCTTTGGGACGATCGGGGTCTCGCCGCGGGGTCCTTGGGAGGGATGTTGGGGACCCGTGGGGGTCTCTGGGAGGTGTTCTGGGGGGGGGGGGGGGGGCTGGACCCATGCGGGTCTGATGGAGGGTTCTGGGGAGGGGGGTTTGGGGTCCGTTGGGGTTCTTGCGGCGGGGTTCCCGGGAGGGGTGGTGGGACCCATGGGGGTCTCAGGGAGGGGTTTTTGGGGGAGGTGGTTGGTGTTGGTGGCCCATGGGGGTCTCACGGAGGGGTCATTGGGAGTGGTGTTGGAGCCCGTGGGGATCTCATGGATGGGTCCTTGGGAGGGGTGGTTCAGGCCCATGCCTTGGGAGAGGTGTTGGCGGCGCGTGTTTTTGAGGGGGTTCTCGGGAGGGGTTGTCGGGAGCGGGTTGCTGCAGGGGTGATGTGACCAACGAACAAATCACTGTGTTCGCGACGGGGTGACCGCGGGTCCAGGACTTCAGCCCTGCCTTCCTCGCCTCCTCCTCCTCCTCCTCCCCCTGAGGTACCACCACGGAGAGGCGTCCCTCGCCGGCACCATCATCTCCATGGCCCAAGATTTCGTCGGCTCGAACAACCTCAACTTGCTCGTGCCCTCTGGCCAGTTCGGCACTCGCCTGCAAGGCGGGAGCGACCACGCCAGCGCGAGGTACATCTACACGCGGCTGTCGCCCTTCACGCGGCTCATCTTCTCGCCCCTCGACGACGCAGTCCTCAACTACCTCAACGAGGACGGGCAGCGGATCGAGCCGTCCTTCTACGTGCCCGTCCTCCCCATGGTGCTGGTGAACGGGGCCTCGGGCATCGGGACAGGGTGGAGCACCGACATCCCGAACTACGACCCCCTCGCGATCATCGAGAATCTGAGGTGGCCAGGGCCCGATCGCGGATGGGACTGCAGTGTCGTTTTTAATACATGCTCCGCGTGCGGATCATGTATTAAAAATGCAGAGATTCAGTATTGAAAACATCGATGAGTTCATGCACAAATTCATGCATAAAGTAATCATGAATTAAAATCCTATAGTTTTACAAAACCTATGTATTAAAACTGCCTTGTGGGGAGGGGCAGCCAGATCTTGCCACGAACTCCTGGCCAGAGTGCGCTCCAGGACAGGTCACCGGTCCGGAGAGCGAACCTGGAGGGGGAGGGCGGCGCCGCCCATGCTGTTCGCGCCGGGAGGCTCTGGACTCCCTTCCTCCCTCAGCCAACCTCCCTCTCTCTCCCTCCCTCCCTCCCTCCCTCTCCCTCCCTCCCTCCCTCCCTCTCCCTCCCTCCCTCTCCCTCCCTCTCTGTCTCTCTTTGTTCTCTCTCTCTCTCTCTATCCTGGCCAGCACGGGGTCGCACCAGCCCCGTTGGGTTCCCGAGGGCTCCCCCCGAGGGCTGCCGAGAGGGGTCACGCAAGATGCTCGCCAACACGGGTGCGTGACCGCCGCAATTTGGCAACGCTGCAGAATGGACGCGGCCAGGTGAGTACTCTGACAGCGCGCGGGAAGGTGGGAGGGAACCGGCCACGTGCGCGCGGGATGGTGCAGGAGAGCAGCAGGGAGGCGCCAGCTCCCTGCATCGGCCAGAGCCCCCGTCTGCTGAGTACTCCGCGGCGCGGCGGCGAGGAGGGCCCTGGAGTCGGGGCGCCGCTCTCACCAACAGCACCGCGGGTGGTCTTGCCCCGCTTCGAGGCCCCAGGCCCCCCAGGGATCGGCTCCGACCTGAGAGGGCCCCGCCCATTGATTATGGTGTCTCACTTCCCGGTTCGGCAGAGGTTGGCCGGGCCTCTGAATCCCGACGATTATTTTCCCCGGGCGTGGCTCGACAGCTGCTTCCCCCCGAGGAGGATGGGACGCTCGGGACTAAAAACTGTGTCTCACTTTCCGGCCCCTATTGTCCGGGAGGCTGTGGATCGGCAAGAAGAAGATGAAGCCCATGAAGCCGTGGTTCAGGGGTTTCACCGGCACCATCGAGCACCTCGGCAAGGTCTGGGGCAGAGAAGAGCACACCTTGTGTTGTCGCTGCACCCCGCGCTCCTCAGCACCCCCCCTTCGTCCCCTCCTCTCCATGATGTCCTACAGTGGGTGGACCAAACAAGACGCTAGCCTGCCAACAGGTGCTCTACTGAAGTGTCTAATCCCCGGAGGCACCTGGGGTCCAGAGAAGCCCCAGGGCACCTCTGGATGGGCAAAGATGGACGACGGATGCGGCCATATGTTTACTCCAGGAAGGTGATTTTCACATGCGTGCATGTACTGCGTCAGGTCGACCCTCTGCGCAGTCACCCTCCTGCCACTCCACCTGCTCATCCCCTCCTCTTCCGGAGGGGGTGGGGGGGCTGGGGCAGGCGTCCAAACCCAGGGGGCATATGTCCATGGCTCCGCGCGGCGAGGGATCGCACTACAGCTGGGGCAAATACTGGGAGAACGACCAGGGGCTGGAGATCACGGAACTGCCGATCCGCAAGTGGACCCAGGACTACAAGGAGTTCTTGCAGACCATGTTGCCCGGAGCCGAGTCCAAGTCCAAGATATCGGTGCAGGACATCCGCGAGCACCACACGGAGAAGAAGGTCCACTTCACAGTGAAGATGACCCCAGAGCAGTTAAAGAGTGTCAAGGAGGCTGGTGTTGAGCACTCGTTCAAGTTGTGGGGCAGCGTCAACGAGACCAACATGGTTTTGTTTGATTCAGAGGGAAAGATCGCGAAGTACAAAAACGCCCTCGAAATTATGGAAGAATTCGCGGGGGTACGATTGAAGTACTACGACTTGCGGAAGAAGTACCTTATCGACAAGTTGACGTTGGAGAGGGATCTTCTGAATAATCGTGCGCGCTTCATCGCCATGATCATCGCCAAGAAATTGCACATCAATAACCGTAAGAAGGCAGATGTCGTGAAGGACCTAATCAAGTTCAAATTCATGAAGTTCGGGGACACCAAGCCGCCGAGAACAGGCTTCGAGTATCTGCTCATCATGCAGATTGCCTCGCTCACAAAGGAGAGGAAAGAAGAGCTGGAGAAGATGGCGAAGGAGAAGGCCGCCGAGCTCGAGAAGGTGAAGCGCACCTCCATTCAAGCCATGTGGCTCGAGGACCTGAAGAACCTGGAGGCCGCCATTCGCCAGCTCTACGAGTCGGACAAGGATGACGATGAGAACGATAAGTCCAGGAAGGGTACCAAGCGCAAGGCCCCAGAGGCGACGACCGCCAAGAGGAAGGAAAAATCTGGCGCCGAGAAGGACGAGCCCGGCGGCGATGCTGACGACGAAGAGGTGGCGAACGCGGTCGCCGACCCGCTTGACAACCCGTTCGGCGACATCGCGCGCTGGACGTCGGGTGCCCTCAAGGCGGCCACCGACGCGGGTGCCCCCATGAAGAGGCGCCGCACCAAGTGAGGCGGAGGCGCCGCGGGGCCGGGGGAGGCTCGCTGGGGAGCGACTGGTGGCGACCAGCCACAGACGCTGGGGCCTATGGATGGGGTCACCGATGTCGTCGGCGAGCAGCTGGGAGGCTTGAGGCACACCGGCACAATCGAGCCATCGCGAGCGCTGCTCACGAGATGGTGGCTCGCCTGTTCTGCCTACCGGCTGGCCGTGGTAATGCACGGGAGCACGGGGCTACGAAGAGCTTTGGGGGGGCTCATTCGGCTGGACGGAGATGACGGGGGTGGCAGCAGCCGACGGGCTGGGGCAATACACACGCACGTATGCACGTACGTCTGTAATCATTTAGATACCTATGTCAGCCAGCGTAGACCCCAAACCATGTGTTTCTAGCAGGGTAGCTTGTGCAATCTAGGTGGAGCAATATATGTGGTTCAATCTACGTGGTGCAATTGGATGTTGTGCAACACATCGGCTGCCATCTATGTTGTGCAACATCTGTTGTGCAGACTACGCGGCGGGCGCAATATATGTGGTGCAGTGGACGTTGCGCGGTCTAGGCCGGGCAATAGTGCAAACTATGTAGTGCAATCGCTGTGGCGCGCAATCTGTGTGGTACAGCCGACGTGGCGGAATCTATGTGGTGCATTGTATGTGGTGCCATCTCTGCGATGCAATCGACGTGGTGCAATGTTAGTGTTGCTATATGTTGTGCAAGCTTTGTCGGGCAATCTATGTGGTGCAATGTATGTCTGTTCGCAGTAAGTTGTGAACTCCATTGCTCGCGCAACCACCCCCCACCCACCCGCAACATCGTTTGCAAAACCCATGCGGCGGCGACTGCGATGCGTGCTTGGTGTTGGCTGGTGCATCTCTGCGGCCGCGCTAGCCCGTGCATGCTCGCGCGCGCAGCGGCCAGCTGACGCTGACCGCTTCCGGCTGACGCTTCGGCGCGACCGACGCGGCTGCGGTGGCGCTGACCACTGGGCCTTTCCCAGCGGCACTTCAATACAAGTCGGCGGCTTGGGCAGTCGCGGTATCATGACATCGTGTCGGCACCTGTAGATATGATGATGATAGTAGCGATGGTGGTGACGATGATGACAACGACGACGGCAATGCCAGTGACGGCGCCGATGCTGATCACGCCGATGACGATGACGGCATCCTCGCGTAGGTGCTCAAGGTTTTACATGCGCGCGCGGCCGACGCGCGTGGACGAGGCGGCGATGATAGCGTGGGCGTGATCTCGAGGTTGGGACCACCGGCAGTCTGAACCAGGCCGACCTTGAGCGACCTCCGTTGTCAGATAGCGGAGGTGGTTCAAGATTGGATCACGTGCGCGGTGTCAGACACCAGCGCCCACGTCGACACAACAGCATTCGTCCGCGATTTGGGGGCCGTGCAGGGGAACTCCCTGCGCTGGGCACGCCCTCTTGAGGGCCACCTGGGCACGCCCTCTTGCCCCCCCGTCCGCTCTCGTCCACCCGACTCGTGACCGCGGGGGCGTTGGTCTGCATAGGCCTTGCCTGCAGGAGAACCGCACTAGGATTCGAGAGCGTTGTACACTTGGGTTCGTTCTAGTGCGCGGCGTGGTGACACTCATCATCAACATCATCCTTCGCCGCCACCGTCGTCACCGCTGTCATCGCCACCATGTTGGCCGTCATTGCAATCAGATCTCAATTTTCGCGCGTCGCTGTCGTCGTCGCCAGGCGCCATGGCAATAGACACACAGGCGCCTCAGAGGAGAGAAGTGATGGTCAGCGTTAGCTCTCGCCGCCCCACGCGCGTCCTTGGCGGGGCCGTGGGGGAAATCCTGTTGACCGAGCTAGCTGACACCAGTGCGGTGGGTGTGACGATGACGCACATCGGTGTCTAACGCGTCGATGCGTCGCTCCTCTTTCCTCGCTGTCCTTGTTGCTACTGCGCCATCCTCCTACCCCCTCATCCCCCTCGCATTGCTCCTCTTCCCTCGTTGCTCTTGTTGCTACTACGCCATCATCCCCCCTCCTTCCCCTCCTTCTCCCCCCCATACTTTCCCCGGTGGTCACGTATGGCATCTATATTCCTTGTACTCGCCTTCCCTTTGCCCCTGACTTCCCTCTTTCCCTCCTCCCCCTTCTTTTTCCTCACTCCCTCCTCCCCCTTCCCCCTCTGGCAAACGTGGGTGCCACAGATCGCCCGAGCAGATCTCCTGCCCCACGCAGCAGGATTGCAAGGTCCCCTGAGGGGTCCCCAGGGCGTCGTAGCAATCAGACTGTTGTGCCATAAACTGGTGAGAGCTGACCAGGAGCAGCCCAGGCTTTTCACGAGCCGACAGTCTGGCTTACCACGCCCCCGGAGCTCGATTCGATTCGATGCCTTCCCCCATGGCTCCGTGTCCTCGTCGCGTCGCTGCAGACGTCTCGTCGTGTAGCCGCGCGGTGTCGACGTCGTCGCCGACGGCCGCCTGCTGCTCTCTCTCTCTCTCTCTCTCTCTCTCTCTCTCTCTCTCTATATATATATATATATATATAAGTAGATTGCAGCCGCAGGACACGAACATAAAACCGATAAACTGATAAACCGATAAACCGATAAGTTATTTCGGTTGATCGGTTTATCGGCAGATCGACCGATAAACCGATATAATTATATCGGTTTATCGGTCGATCTGCCGATCAACCGATCAACCACTAAACCGACTCATCGCATGCGTGCCCGAATCTCAGCACAGTTTATCAGTTTATCGGTTTATCAGTTTATCGGTTTATCAGTTTATCGGTTTATCGGTTTATCGGTTTATCGAAATAGTTTATCGGTTTATCAGTTTATCGGTATATCGGATGTTTCGGTTTATCGGTTTATTGGTTGATCGGTTTATCGGCCCGGCGTTGTCGTGGTTGTCCAATGGGTAATCCTTCGAAATTCTCTCTCCTCGTCCAGAAAGAAAGAAAAACTGGAAAGGGGGGGGGGCGGGAAGGAGAGATGGAGGCAGGGAGGGTTGGATTCGATTCGGGAAGGGGCATTTGAGAAAAGAGGGGATGGAGGGGCGGAGGGAATAGGGATGGGGACGGGGGTTTGGAGTTGGGAAGGAGGGGTGGAGGGAGGAGTGGCGGGGGGAGGGCGGGGTTTGTGGGAAGCAAAATCTGGCGGGGCATTTCGGGCTAGGACGTTTTCGGTTTCTACAGCGCTTTGGCGGGGGTGCCTCCAGCTCCCCCTTCCGCTCCTTCTCTGGGCTTTGGGTGGGTCGCATTTCCATTCTCCTCCTCCCCCATCCTCCTTCTCCTTCCCCCCTCGGTCTTAGCCGTATCAGGTTATCACTGTAGCGCGAGCTGCGGCGAAAGCTGCTGGCGTCGCGTGTCCGAATGCGGATCCGCGGCGATAGCTGCAGATCTGCGGCCACCCACACTATTGCGGATCCGCGGCGATAGCTGCAGATCGGCATGGCCGCTTCTTGCGCCATCTGCAAGCAGGCGCTCGAAGATGGCGAGGAGCTCGTCCGTCTGGGTTGCCTGCGCGGGCCTTGCCATAAAGAGTGCGTCAACGCGCACATGCAAGTGCACGGCCTGGACTTCGCTAATTTTCCATGCCCAGAGTGCAGGACCACGGAACGCCAGCTCCAGTCGATGGAGGCCGCCAGGTTGCAGCGGCAGCAGGTCGTCAGCAGCAGTGGGTCGTCAGCGGCAGCAGGTCGCAGGCGCGCAGCCGTCTTCCGGATCCCCCTCGCCCAGGGGGGGGAGCGCAGGATCACCGGGGAGAACCGCCGCTCCAGGTCGCCGCCTCCCCGCGTCGTGGCCGATTCGCCCATCATGCAGCCCGAGTCGCCCGGTGGGGCCATCGTCCCGGCCGCGTCGCCCATTGGCAGGGCCGTCGTCCCGGCCGCGTCGCCCATTGGCAGGGGGCTGTCGCAGTCCATATCCCCATCGCAGTCTCAGCCGTCGCGGCCGCAAGGCCCTGCCATCACGGATGCCGATTTCGGTTTCACGCTCACTGACAACACGGCGGCTGGCGGCGACGGGGCCCCGGTGCCAGACCCGTCCTTGGCTGCTATTCGCGCTCTCGACGCCGTGCCGAATGCCGCCGCTTTCCGAACCGCCCTGCACCCGACGGGCTTATTCAACGGCTTGCAGGACGAGCGGGGGACCCGAGAGACAGCCAAGCAGTGGCTGGGCGAGATGCTGGCGGACCCTAGGGACCACAAGGAGGTGGGAATGGATCCCAGCTTCTCAATTCGGCTCCTGCTCCCGCGCCCCTTCCGCGCAGCAGTCGTCGCGGTGGCGTCGCGCGAGGGCTGGCAGCCCGAAGCGCTCATGCAAGGTATCATGAGCAACGCGGGCTGGTTGGAGCGCCACGCCACGGTGCTCAAGGAAACTGCGGATGAGACGCACTCCCGCAAGCCGACGATTGCGATCTTCTGCGCGGCTATGCCACCCACTCGCAAGACCTCCCTCGCCCGCTTCGTCTCGGTCAGCCTGCTGGGCGACACTGACGAGGGGCGGCAGCTACAGGCTTGCACCTGCGGTGACGCCACGCTGAGAGGATTGTTGAATTGTATTTCGACGCATGAGCGCAGCGGGCTGGTCAACGACGAAATCACGACGGCTTACGACACCACCTTCAGCCAGGGGTCGCGCGGGTGTCACTACGCGGGAAAGCCGACGATGCTCAAGTTCGTCAACGGCGAGCGCAGCATCACTATGACTGGGCATGGGGCCGTTAACTTGGGCACCTACGGGTTCTTGCACCAGGTGTGGGGGGAGATTCCAGCGGTCGAGGAGGTGCTCCAGCGTGATTCCATTGGCTTCCGCAAGAGGTTCAATACCATTTGGTTTGGCGAGGCGGCTGGCCACCCGACGCAGAACACCGAGCAGTCCACGATTTTGTTGACAGCGCTCATGTCTTGGATGTGTCAGAATGCCCTGCCCCAGCAGGAAGTGCACTGCTTCGATAATTTCTCGCTGTCCATGTATCGGGCTTTCATGAGCGGCATCTCCAATTTCATAGACGAGAATCCAGGCCTCGACCAGCTCATACGGGAGAAATTGCAATTCGCCGACACAGACATCCTGCGGTCCCGAAACCCGTTTGGGGCGATTTTTGGGTCGGGAGGTAACGACGACGACGACGGCGACGCTGTCGCCGCCGCCGCCGCCGCCGCCGCCGCCGCCGCCGCCGTCGTCGTCGTCGTCGTCGTCGTCGTCGTCGTCGTCGTCGTCGTCGTGGTGCACCCCCCGACCCCTCGAGCACCGAGGCTTTGTAGCCTTCGGGGGCCCCCCTCGTCGCCGCGGCCGGACGCGGCGACAGAAGCTGGTGCCTTTTGACCCTGGGAAGGGTCCGGAGCCTTGTTCGGGACGGATCTTGGGTCGGGGGGTGCACGACGACGACGACGGCGACGACGCCGTCGCAGCCGCCGCCGCCGCCGTCGCCGCCGCCGCCGCCGCCGCCACCGCCGCCGCCGCCGCCGTCGTCGTCGTCGTCGTCGTCGTCGTCGTCGTCGTCGTCGTCGTCGTCGTCGTACACACCCCCGACCCTTCGAGCACCGAGGCTTTCTGGCCTTCCTGGGCCCCCCTCGTCGCCGCGGCCGGACGCGGTGACAGAGGCTGGTGCTTTTTGACCTTGAGAAGAGTCCTGGGGCCCGATTGGGACGGATTCTGGGTCGGGTGGGCGCACGACGACGACGACGACGACGACGACGACGACGACGACGACGGCGGCGGCGGCGGCGGCGGCGGCGGCGGCGGCGGCGGCGACGGCGTCGTCGCCGTCGTCGTCGTCGTGCGCCCACCCGGCCCAGAATCCGTCCCAATCGGGCCCCAGGACTCTTCTCAAGGTCAAAAAGCACCAGCCTCTGTCAACGCGTCCGGCCGCGGCGACGAGGGGGGCCCAGGAAGGCCAGAAAGCCTCGGTGCTCGAAGGGTCGGGGGTGTGTACCACGACGACGACGACGACGACGCGCCGCCGCCGCCGTCGTCGTCGTCGTCGTCGTCGTCGTCGTCGTCGTCGTCGTCGTCGTCGTCGTCGTGGTGCACCCCCCGACCCCTCGAGCACCGAGGCTTTGTGGCCTTCGGGGGCCCCCTTCGTCGCCACGGCCGGACGCGGCGACAGAGGCTGGTGCGTTTTGATCCTGGGAAGAGTCCGGGGACCCGTTCGGAACTGATTTGGGTCGGGGGGTGCACGTCGACGACGACGGCGACGACGCCGTCGCCACCGCCGCCGCCGCCGCCGCCGCCGTCGTCGTCGTCGTCGTCGTCGTCGTCGTCGTGGTGCGCCCCACGACCCCGCGAGCACCGAGGCTTTCTGGCCTTCGGGGGCCCCCCGCGTCGCCGCGGCCGGACGCGGCGACAGAAGCTGGTGCCTTTTGACCCTGGGAGAGGTCCGAGGACCCGTTTTGGACGGATTCGAAGTCGAGGGGTGCGCCACGACGGCGACGATGACGACGGCGGCGAAGACGGCGACGAGAGCGGCGGCGGCGGCGGCGGCGGCGGCGGCGGCGTCGTCGTCGTCGTCGTCGTCGTCGTCGTCGTCGTCGTCGTCGTCGTCGTCGTCGTCGTCGTCGTCCGTCGCCGTCGCCGTCGCCGTCGCCGTCGCCGTCGTCGTCGTCGTCCGTCGTCGTCGACGTCGTCCTCCTCCTCATCCTCGTCCTCGTCCCCGTTTTGGCTGGCCCGCCTGCGGTTCGGCCCGGCTCGGCCGGCAGAGGAGAGGAGGAGGAGGAGGAGGAGGAGGAGGAGGAGGAGGGGGAGGAGGAGGAGGAGGAGGAGGAGGAGGAGGAGGAGGAGGAGCTTGTTAGAAGTCGATTGGCTTATGGGTACCAACGCCCAAGGGGGGACCTGGTATCAAGCGCCGGTGGCTGGCGAGCCCCACCATGAGATTAGAGGGGAAGAACCCCAGCATCGTCCATGAGGTTTCGTCGAGGCAGAACCGGCATCCTGGGTGACCGATTCGATTGCCACGCAAATGAATGTTCGACGGCCCGGCAAATCAGACCCACCACGAAGGTGTTCCTTGCCCCCCCAGTCCCGAGAAGGGACAGCGCATCATTGAGGGGACGAATGGGATGAGGACGCTGGGGTGTCCTCCGACTCCTGGCTACCCCCTCATATCCTTGCCTCACCGTGGCAATCCGTCCAATTAGAGCGCCTCACGGCGGCTTACCGCAATCGCGCGCCCTTGACTCTGAAAGGAGGAGGAGGAGGTGGAGGAGGACACGGAGGAGGAGGAGGAGGAGGAGGACGACGACGACGACGCAGAGGAGGAGGAGGAGGAGGAGGAGGCCCGTTCCTCGTGAGACATCCTCGGAAGTCTGGGCTCCAACGCGCCACGACAAGTGATTATTAGCGCTCTCGCCTGGGGCATCTTCACCACACCGGCGCATCCCGCTTAAAGCATCCGCAGCGTTCTGGGATCCGATATTCTTTGAGTTGAAGCAATCTGGCCACCATCGCCTGAGCCATCCTCGCACTTGCTTCCCGCCGAAATTTGCCCCGCCAGATTTTGCCTCCCGCGCGGCTGCCGTCATCGCCATCATTATCATCAGCATTACCTTCCTCATCCTCATCCTGAGACATCCTCGCAACGCTGACCTCTGATATTCTTCCCTGCCCCAAATTGTGCTGGCCAGTTCCGCCTACACAAAAACTCGCAGCGTTGACCTGGGATGTGCCCTGCCTTCACGTAGTCTGACCTCCGATTTTCCCCGAGATGCGGTGTTCAGGCCACTTGCGCCTGAGACGCCCTCGCACCTCTGACTTCGGAGGTGCCCTGCCCCATGGCGGTCCGGCCACTGTCGCCGTCGCCGTCGCCGTCGTCGTCGTGGCGGGGAACTGACAACCAACCGATAACCCGATAAACCGATAAACCGATATGCGGCACAAGGATCGCCTCCACAGGTTCCCCCCCAGCGGTCTCAGACCAGCCAATCAACCGATAAACCGATCAACCGATAAACCGATAAACCGATAAACCGACGAAGAGAGGAGGGCGCGCCAGCAATCGCCTCTATGTTCGCATACGAAGATTATCGGTTGATCGGTTTATCGGCAGATCGACCGATAAACCGATATGATTATATCGGTTTATCGGTTGATCGGTTTGCAAACCGTTCAACCGATTAGTTTTTATCGGTTTATCGGTTTATCGGTCGGATGGATTTCCGGAAGCCGTTGCCGCTGCACTCTATAAGTATATATATATGCCTGGATCTCGCGCACGTGCCTTGGCGCTTGCGGGGGGCCGACCCGGAATCTTAGAAGCCTGAGGTGCCAGAAATTAGAGAAACAACAAAAAAAACGCCTGACATCCTAGAACTCCTCCATCTCCTCCCGCCTGCCGTTCCTCCCCTCTTGCTCGCCTTCTCTCAGTCGCCCTCATGTTCCTGCCCTCGTCCTGCTGGTTCCCTTCACGTCCCCCCAGCCTCCCGTCTCCCGAAAGCTTCCTTCTCCATCTTCCCCCTTGCATCCTCTCTCAGATTCTGCACGCTTACCCCAATCGCAAGGCAGTTGTCTCAAGGGCAGCCCAGCGGCAAGGCCAGCGGTCCTGCACTCGCGCATCTCTCCGATTACCACGGTTCGTGTCCTTTTGGTCGCTGCCTGGCGGCAACGCCAGCTCTCGTGCATCCACTCGTTCCCAACGCTTACCCGCGTCGCGAGGCAGTTGCCTCAAGGACACAGCCCGGCAGCAAGGCCTACAGTCCTGCACATGTTCGCGTTCATCTGCTTACCGCGGCTCGTCTCCTACAGGACGCCGCCTGGCGGCAGTGCCAGCTTTCACGCATCCACATGTTCTGCGTGCCAACCCCCGTCGCGATGCAGTTGCCTCAAGGACGCAGCCCAGCGGCAAGGCTGGAGGTCATGCGCACGTCAGTCTTGTTTGGTCGCTGCCTGGCGGCAACGCTGGCTTGCTTGCCCCCGTGTCGAGGCAGTTGCCTCGAGGTCACAGACCGCTGGCGAGGCCGGCAGTCCTGCACGTTCTCGCATCTGTCCGCTTACCACGGTTCGTCTCCTTTGGACGCTGCCTGGCGGCAGGGCCGGCTTCCGTGCATCCACTGATTCTGTGCGCTTACCACCGTCGCGAGGCAGCTGCCTCAAGGACACATCTCGGTGGCAAGGCCAGCTGTCCTGCACCCGTCCGGCTTCTTCGGTCGCGGCCCGGCGACAACGCCAGTTTGCGTGCATCCACGCATCCCCTTTGTCGCGAGGGACTTGCCTAATTCCTCAAGGACACATCCCGGCGGCAATGTTGGTAGTCTTGCATATGAGGAGTGTTTCTGTACACCAATATATTTCCCTGGTGTAGAATTCTTTACGCTTCGCGTATCCCCACCAGCCCATCTCACAGCAGCAACTCTTGCGAAGCATGCCGACAGTCGTGCTTTTCAGGCGTGTGTCCGCTTGGCCCCGCATATCTCCCCTGTTCCTCGTTCCTCCCGCCTCCTTGTACATCCTCCTTGTGGGGGGAGCGGGAGAAGGACGAGGCGGAGGAGGAGGGAGAGAAAGCGCTCCTCGTGATTTGAGTCGTTTGGGGTTTCTCGTCCTGGTGTGAGTCGTTCGGGCCCTTCTTCCTGGTGTGAGTCGTTCGGGCTCTTCGTGGTGTGAGTCGTTCGGGCTCTTCGTCATGGTGTGAGTCGTTCGGGCTTCTCGTGGTGTGAGTTGTTCGGGGCCCTCATCCTGGTGTGAGTCGTTCGGGCTCTTCTGGTGTGAGTCGTTCGGGCTCTTCGTCCTGGTGTGAGTCGTTCGGGCTTCTCGTGGTGTGAGTTGTTCGGGCCCCTCATCCTGGTGTGAGTCGTTCGGGCCCCTTCTCCTGGTGTGAGTCGTTCGGGCTCTCGTGGTGTGAGTCGTTCGGGCCTTCGTCGTGGTGTGAGTCGTTCGGGCTCCTCGTGGTGTGAGTCGTTCGGGGCCCTCGTCCTGGTGTGAGTCGTTCGGGCCCCGGAACCTTCTCCTGGTGTGAGTCGTTCGGGCTCTTCGTCCTGGTGTGAGTCGTTCGGGCTTCTCGTGGTGTGAGTTGTTCGGGCCCCTCATCCTGGTGTGAGTCGTTCGGGCCCCGGGCCTTCTTCCTGGTGTGAGTCGTTCGGGCTCTTCGTGGTGTGAGTCGTTCGGGCTCTTCGTCCTGGTGTGAGTCGTTCGGGCTTCTCGTGGTGTGAGTTGTTCGGGCCCCTCATCCTGGTGTGAGTCGTTCGGGCCCCTCCTCCTGGTGTGACTCGTTCGGGCTCCTCGTGGTGTGAGTCGTTCGGGGCCCGCGTCGTGGTGTGAGTCGTTCGGGCTCCTCGTGGTGTGAGTCGTTCGGGCGCCTCGTCCTGGTGTGAGTCGTTCGGGCCCCTCCTTGTGGTGTGAGTCGTTCGGGCTCTTCGTGGTGTGAGTCGTTCGGGCCCCTCGTCCTGGTGTGAGTCGTTCGGGCTCCTCGTGGGGCCTCTTGGGGGCCTCTTGGAGCCTCTTGGGGCCTCTTGGGGGCCTCTTGGGGGCCTTTTGGGGGCCTCTTGGGGGCCTCTTGGGGCCTCTTGGGGCCTCTTGGGGGCCTCTTGGGGGCCTTTTGGGGGCCTCTTGGGGCCTCTTGGGGGCCCCTTGGGGGCCTCTTTGAGGCCTCTTGGGAGCCTCCTGGGGGCCTCTTGGGGCCATCTTGGGGCCTCTTGCGACCTCCTCAGAAGCGCAAGTGAGCGCTGGCCCCTGAGAAGGGCAAAATGAGCCCAAAACCTTCGTAAAATCAATGATTTTGCTATGAAGGAAGATGAGCGCGGCCCCCTTCAGAAGGCGAAAATGAGGCCGACACCGTCGTAAAATCAATGTTTTTGGCTTCAAAGAAGAGCAGAGGGGCCAAACTACCTCCCCCCCTCGAGACCAGAATCCTCGTGAGGGTCGTCGTTTTTTGGCCCTCCCAGGAGTCGAAAAAGACCCCCTTGATCCCACTCGGCCCGCCCTCTCCAGGTCCAGGGGAGGGGGTAGGGGGAGGGGTAAACCCCTCCCCGAAGGGGAAGATAGGGGGTTAGGGGGTTGTGAACAGAGAGAGCTCTCTAAACCACTCACGCCCAAAGGGCTGGTGGGATTTATACGCGGTCTTTGTGTTGGCATCGTGGGCGTCCCCGCTGGCGGCGGCCATGAGAGGGCAGTATTGTTCCAAAGATTATCTGATACCTTCTTCAGCCTCCCGTTTCCGCGTCAAGTGACGGAGGCAAAATTGGGCCGAGCGGCACACGCCTATTTTGTGCTGGCTGACGGCCAGGCAGTGATCAGGGAATTCAAAGAGTTCCTTGACTGGCACAGCAGGCCACGGTAGAATATGTTCCATCGCGGCGTTGAGGGACTGGCTTCGGTGGTCTTCCTGCGTGTGACAGGAGGCACAGCCTGGAGGATACCGCTGTGCGCGGTCCCAGGTGATGCTGCGTACCTCTCAAGGAGTGGCTACGGTGGACTTCCTTCGTCTGGAGGGAGGCACGTCCTGGAGGGGAGCGCGAGCAGCGCAGCCCCAGGTGACGCCGCAGACCTGCGTGTCGAGCCGTTCGCCAGCAGCGCGTGCTCGAGCATTGTTCTGTCTCTCTTTTCGGGCTGTTCCCTCCTGTCTCGACTGTTTTGAGGCGCCGTCCCATCCCATCCCATCCTCCTTCTCATCCTTTTCCTCCTCCTCCTCCTTCTCTCCTTCTCCTCCTCCTCCTCCTCCTCCTCCTCCTCCTCCTCCTCTTCTCCTCATCTTCCTCCTCCTTCTCCTCCTCTTCCTCTTCCTCCCCTTCCTCCTCATCCTCCTTCCCCTCCCCCCTTTTCTCCTCTTGTTCCTCCTCCTCCGCGTGGTCGTTATCGTGGTTGTCGTCATCGTCGTCGTCGCCGTCGCGGCGGAGATAGTTTTGCCTCCATTGTTGGGCGGGTTGGACGATTAGTGGGGGGTGTTACTCCCAGGGAGGAATCCATGGTGGGGAATCCTAAGTATCTTTCTTTCTGATGCACACACAGGAGGTTTGTGCATCCTCCCATGAATATTCCAATAGAAGTCATGTCTTGTGGTTATAGACATGAATGTACTCGTGGTCGTAATGTTGTTTGTAAGTGTATCGCAGTCGCAATTGTAGTCGTAATCGTAGCCGCGGTTGCAGTCCTAGTCGCAATCGTAATCCTAGTCGTCGTCGTTGTTCTCGCGGCGGGGACTATGTTCCTTCTATTGCTGGGTGGTTTGGGTAATGTTCTCGCATCTTTCGCTCAGGAAATAATCCATTGCGGGCTACCCTACACGCGGGAGGTGCACGAGCAGCTTCTCATGAGGATTGCAATGCGAGTCAGTGGCTGTTGTTGTAGTCGCGAGTGCAGTCGCGGTTGTAATCGTGAGGGCAATCGTGTTTTGTAGCCGTGTGTAGTCGCGATGGCAGTCGTGGTCGTGGTTGTGGTCGTAGTCGTAACCGTAGTCGTAATCGTAGTATTCGCCGTCGCGGCGGATAATGGGTTCCGTCTTATCGTTGACCGGGCTGGGTAACTTTGGGGGGTCTCCTCCTCCAAGGGAATAACCCACTGTGGGCTGCCCTACACACAAGAGGATGTGCGAGCACCTCCCCATGAGGTTTGCAATAAGAGCCAGTGGTTGTGTATGTAGTCGTGACCGTACTCGTGGATGCAATCGTGATTGCAGTCGCGAATGTAATCGTAATCGTACTCGTGGTCGTAGTAACCATCGTTGTCGCAATCGTAGTCGTAATCGTAGTCGCAGGCGGAGTCGTAATCGTAGTCGTCGTCGTCGTCGTCGTTGTTGTGCGGCGGGTGCCGCGGAGAAATTCTTCACGCTTCGTATGCCCACCAGTTTCGTGCGTCCCGGCTCCATGGTGTCCGACGCTTTGCATACTTGCGCGCTGGCAGTTTGACTCCGTTTCAGCTGTCCCCCCACCCGCCGGTCCGCCGCTGGGCTGCTGCGTGGGGGCTCGGTTTGCCGCTGTAGGTGTGGCCCCCCTCCGTCGCCTTAGGTTAATTCGTCGCTGCGTGGCCCGCTTTGACTGGACTCGCCGCCGGCGCGCTCGCCCGCGGCCGCTGACTAAAAAAGTACCCCACCAGCCCATTCAATTACCCTGCCAATGAGAGCTGACGGAAAAATGGACGAAGAGACACATCTAGAGAAACAAAGCGAGCAACCAGGGTGAACCGAGAGATCTCTTGGAGCAAAGGGGTGGCCTTGGAAGGCCTCTTCGGGTCATCCCTGGGGGCCGCGTGGGGGCGAGGAAAAGAGGAGGAGGAGGAGGAAGACGAGGAGGACGAGGAGGACGAGGAAGACGAGGAGGACAAGGACTAGGATGAGGACGACGCGGACGAGGACTCATATCTAGAGGTGTTTTTGCGGCTGCTGCTGTTGTTGGTGCTCTCTGGAAGTTTTGGGGGCCCTTTTTCGAACCCTCTTTGTAACCCTGGAAGGCTTCTTGGGATCATCTTGGAAGCCATCGATTACAGGATGGTGGGGTCCCCAACTCAGCTCCCCCCTCAGGAGCCTGCAAACCGTTTCTTGCTTCTCGGGGCTCTCTTGGAGCGCTCTTGGAACGGTCGTGGGGCCGTTTGAAGCATCTTGGGAGCCATCCCGAGCCAGCTTGGCTATCTAAGCCATCTTGGAGGTCTTCTTGGGCGCTCTGAGACCGCTCGGTGGCCTCTTGGGGGCCTCTCGGTGGCCTCTTGGGGCCCTCTTGGGTCTCTTGTGGGTCTCTCTTGGCGTTCTCTTGGGGCCCTCTTGGGAGCTATGGAGCGCCTCTTGGGGCCGTCTTGGAGACCATCGATTAAAGAAGGGGGGGTCCTCGATTTGCCCCCCCCCCCCCCCCCTCTGGAGCAATCAAAATCGCCTCTTGGGGCGCTCTTGGGGCGCTCTCTTGGGCGCTCTTGGGGCCGCCTTGGGGGCCTATTGGACCCTTCTTGGAGCTTTCTTGGGCCATCTTGGGGCCATGTTGAAGCCTCAAAAGCGCATCGGAAGCGAAACGGCGAGCAAGTAAACATCAGAAGTGTCCCTTCGGTGTTTGACCGATGTTAGGCTCGTGGAGGGTCCTGAGGGGTCTCCAAGAGCACCTGGAACTGGATTGTGGCCCTCTTGAGGCGTCCTGGAGGCATGTCGGAAGCTGTCTTGAACCATGTTGGGCTATCTTGAGCGATTTTGAAGGCCATCTTGGGCTGTATGAGGCTCTCTTGGAGCCATCTTGTGCGAATAAGGACCCTCCGACACATCGCGGGGCGCCCCGTTCAGGTCCAGGGGAGGGGGTAGGGGGAGGGGTCAAGACTCCCTCCCCGCCCGCAAGCCGTCTCGCTCACTCCCACCCGCCCTCCCAACACATACGTAGCACCCGAGTCGGCCCCGAGCCTCAGCATATTCAGCAGTCGTCTTTGGATGGGCAGCTACTGTGGGCCAATCCGCCGCTGCCGCCGCCTCCGCCGCCGCCTCCACCGCAGCCGCTGCCGCCGCCGCCGCCGCCGCTGCCCGCCGCCGCCGCCGCGCCACCCGCCGCCGCCGCCGCCGCCGCCGCCGCCGCCCCCGCTGCCAAATCGCCGCCGCCGCAGCCGCTGCCGCCGCAACCGCTGCCGCCACCGCCGCCGCCGCCGCCACCGCCGCAGCCGCCGCAGCCGCCGCCGCCGCTACCGCCGCCGCCGCAGCCACCGCTGCTGCCGCCGCCGCAGCCGCCGGCGGCATGCTCCGGATTTGGAGGCAGAGTGTGTTTTGTATGGTTGTTTTACCAGGGATGGTAGGGGGGGCCCTCATGGTTCCTGGTTGGCTGCCATTCGCCTGGGGGAGGGGGTGTTCATCAATATGTAGGGAACAGTGATAAACCCCTCCCCGAAGGGGAAGAAGGGATTGTGGAAGAGGAAAGAAAGACAGCGTTAGACCACCTGTCGCCCAGAGGGCTGCTGGAATTAGTTGGTTTCAGAATTGGTGGGGCCTCAGTCCGTCAATAAGGTGTCGAAAAATGATCTGCTCCCGATGTATGGGGGGGTCTAGAAACCTATCGCGATTACTGCTGGTGTCGTGTCGTTGCCATCCGTTGTTGTTGCTGCGAATGCCGCGATCAGGCCGGCAACCCCCTCTCACGGATCGTGCCCTTTTGGTGAGATTCATCTACGGTCCCAGCGGTGGCGTGTTTGCGTTCGTCTGCACTCCCGTGGCCACGGAGGCCTCTAAAACATCTGGGAAGCACAAAGACAAACTCCGCGGCCCAAGTGGTGTATAAAGTGTCAGGACGACGGCAATGTGCGAGAGTACCCGACCAAACGCCCCACCAACATTTTACACACCAAGCAGGCCACAGGAAGCTAGACCGTGAACCCCTGGAAACTTCGGTTTCGCCGAGGAGACTGAGGTTTCGCTGACGGCACCGCGTTTCCAGAGCGGTGCTCGAAGCGCAAGCTTCCTGATGCCCAGGCAAAAGAGCTTCGAGAGGGGTGGGGTGGGGGGCGCTGGCCCTCTTCAGACGAAGGGGAGCGGGGGCCAGGCGGGGTCGCTCTGCGCCGCCCACCTCCCCTGGCGCTGCCCCACAGCATGCCTGGCCTGGTTCTCAAGGTGCCTGAACAGTTGCGGCCTCGGCCGCGCCTGTCAACACGCGCCCTGGATGTGGCGTATGGGATTCGTGCCCTCTGTCGGCAACTGCCCCAACGCCAGTGAGGCTCACGCAATCCAGAACACGAATCGCACCGAACAGGTCGGTGTATACATACTCTCCCCCCAACTCTCGCGTCTATCCGCTTACCACGGTTCGGTTCCTTCTGGGCGCTTCCTGGTAGCAATGCCGGCTCTCGCGCATCCGCTGATTTTGCGTGTTGACCCCCGTCGCGAGGGCATGTGCCTCAAGGACACAGCCCAGCGGCAAGGCCGGCAGTCTTGCACACTCTCGCCTCTATCCGTTTACCATGGTTCGTCTCTTTCTGGACGCGGCTTGGCGGTCATGCTGGCTTTCGCGCATCCACAGATTCTGCGCGCTTTCCCCCATCGCGAGGCCGTTGCCTCAAGAACAAAGCCTGCGGTGAGGCCGGCGGCCCCGCACACATCCATATTCTTTTGGAAGCTGCCTGGCAGCAGTGCCAGCTTACGCGCACCCACACCTTCCGCACGTTTACTCCCGTCGCGAAGCAGTTGCCTCAAGGACTCAGCCCGGCGGCAAGGACGGCGGTCCTGCACAATTTCGCGTCTATCAGGTTACCACGTGTCGTCTGTGTCTGGATGATGGGACGGCGAGGAAGGCAAAAGGAGGGAGCATGAGACGGGGTGGTGCACTGCACCATCGATGAAGCATCCGGAGTTCATTATGATAACCCACGCTTTCTGTTACACCTACCCTGCCGCTTCTATGGGGTTCTGGCGCGTGCTTCACGTCCATATTTGATCAATGAATCCTCTAACGCGCTCGCTGCCCACCAATGTCCAAGTGCACCGATCACACTTTCTCTTCACACATCCCCTAATTTACGAGGGCATGAGTGCCTGGGAGCAGTTTTTCCTCAACGATGATAATCTACGCTCTAGATCTTCCTTGTGGGCCATCTTGTGACGGACTTGGGGTCCTCATGGAACCCTCCGGAGGTTTTCCTGCTAGTCTGGCAGGCTCCAATGTGAAGATCGACGCCGTTGATTTCTTTTTGGGTCATCCCGTGACCGCCTTGAGGGCCCTCTTGAGACCCTCTTGCGGCTTTCCTGCGACTCTGGCAGATTCCTAGCCCAGGACGACCTCGTTCCGTGCGGTCTGGACCACGATGACCTCAGCCCGTTCGCACCATCGGGCCACCATGCCCTACAGGGTGGCGATTCCATCAAACTGGGCCCACTGACGGGGTTAAGGCGCCCCAGGGCCATTTTACCTGAAGTTCTGGCTCTCCTCCTCCTCCTCCTCCTCTTCCTTCTCCTGCTTTCGCCTCCTCCTCCTCCTCCTCCTCCTCCTCCTCCTTCTCCTCCTCCTCCTCCTCCTCCTCCTCACCCATCGCCGCAGCCTTCGTCTAGATCCCCCCCCCCTGCCCCTCGTCCGCCGGCCCCTCCACCCGCCTGCCTCTGTGAGCCGCTCAGCGCCGCCCCGGCCCTCCAGCTGCCCGCGCCCCCATCCTCGGCCCCCCCCCCCGTCCCCACGCCGGGCCGCGCTCAGCCGCCCAGCGGTCACCAGGAGCGCGCGCTCTTGCGACCGAGCCCGCACGAGGGTGGGTGCGAGAGGGGAGGGGAGGGAGACGAGGGGGTTGCAGCGGGACGGAGCTCATATCCACGAGGGCGTGACGAAGGCGGATGCGGGAGAGGGAGGGGGAGACGGGAGGGGGGGGGACGGCATGGGGGGGTGAGGGGGGCGGGAAGGAGGGGAGGAGGAGGGGGCGAAGGAGGAGGAAGAGGACGAGGAGGAGGGGGGATGATGATGAGGAAGAGGGGGAGGAGGAGGGAGAGAAGGTTGAGAAGGAAGGGGAGGAGGAGGAGAAGGAGGAGGTTGAGAAGGACGACGAGGAGGAGGAGGCGAGGTAGGAGGAACCTGGCAGGAGGGTTGAGGAGCATGAGGAGGTGGAGGAGGAGAACGAGGAGTAGGAACCAGCGATCAGGAGAAAGAGGAGGGGGATGGTAGCGGCGATGATGATGGTGGTGGTGATTCTGATGATACGAGTGTGATGATGGTGGTGATGGTGGTGATGTCCATAATGATGTGGTGAGATGGTATTAGATGAGACTAGATAAGATGCGATGGTGTGAGATGAGATGGGAGGAGGTGTGAGGAGACGGGATGGAATCGGACGAGATGAGATGATATTAGGATGACGGTGACGGGGATGAGACGGAGGAAGAGGTGGACGGAACAGTGCGCAGCAGAAGATGAACGATAGGGACGTGGTTGAGAAGGGCGAGGAGTGGAGAGGGGGGGAGGATCAGGGTGAGGAGAAAATGAAGGCGGAGACTGGGAGGACGAGGGAAATGTGGAGGAGAGGGAGGAGCATTGGGGGGATAGTGGGCCACTATCTCCCCCCATCGCCCTCTCCCTTCACATGTAGTCCTATTCTTGCGTCACCTCTCTCTCTCTCGCGTTCTCCCTCTCTCGCGCTTTCTAGTTTCTCTGTTGGTGCCGAGTTGGGCTCAGCTGATGCTCCTGTCTTCATAGCGAATTTGCTGAAACCACTGCTGCGTCTGAGCGTCAAAAGGACAGGGACAACGGGAGGGATGTGGGGGGGAGCTGGAGCGGAAGGGAGTGTGGATGGGGGAGGAGGAGGTAGCGCTTCGAGATAGGACGCGGCAGTCCAGGGCACCAGGGCGCACAGGCTCCTACCTGCCGTTGTGGCGGCGGGCCGCGTAGCCGTCGAAAAGAAAAGAAGGTTAGCCAACCACTATTGCACTTGGGATCCCATGTGAGGCACACGATCGCCGTGTGGCACGTGAACTTTGCAGCCGAAGCGCCCTGACTAGCGCAGAAGCAGCGAAGCCGCAGTGCTAGAATGGGGCGCGCAATCCCGAGGCCCGCGCCAGGCAATCGAGTTGGCCAGCGGAAACTAAACAGAAGGTCCGCTAGTCTGCGCAAAGATTTGGCGAAACTGCGGCCACCGCCCAGTAAGCTCATGGTGGAAACCGAGGAACGGGGCTTCTAAGGAGGCACCGTCCTTCGCGCCGCCGTCAGCACCGACGCCGACGATGACGATGACAGCGCTTGCTCCCTGACCTGAGAGCCAGCCGGGCACTAGCCGCCGCCTGGCCAGTACACGGGGTGGCTGCGGCAGCGGCCGCCGCCGGCCACGGGATGTGCTCCTGGGCAGGCGGGCCAGCCATCGGTGGAGAAGCGAGGCGGTTGCTCACGAGGCCGCCGAGGCTCGCGTGGCACCTGTCGCGCACGAGGCGCACGGTGCACGGGGGCGGGCGCGGGCCCGGGGTGCCTGGGGTTTTGCTGGGGAGCGCGTGCCCTGGGTGGCGGGAGCGTCTGCCGGCGCGGTGCCAGGCGGCGCTTTCGGAGGGCGAGCTGTCCCGCGCGAGTGGCAGCGCGGCGGCGTTTGAACGCCTAGCTGCGCAACGCATCGCGCAGCTCCCAAAGGTCCCAGATTCTCAGATTCAGGCTTTGGCTGCGCATCGCGCGCTCGTGTCCGCACGTCATGAAAAACGCATGGGGGGCCCGTGGCGCACAGCATGGGCAGACACTGCCCCGCGAGGGAAGCAGTCCGATGCTCAGCACGGGGCCCGCGGGGCCCAGGCGACTTCCGAGATGCTCTGCCTTTAGGGGCTCCGTCTAGCCCAGCACGCTCCTGGAAGTGCAAGTGGCCACGATAACAACGATAACAACGATAACAACGACAACGATAACAACGATAACAACGATAACAACGATAACAACGATCAACAATAACGATAACAACGACAACAACGAGAACAACGAGAACAACGATCCGGGGGCGGAGCCCGGCCTCACGCCGATAGGGGAGCCCGAGCCGTCCGGGCGGCGCGGCGCCGTGTCGGCTCCACCCGGCACGCCCACCCGGGCAGGAGCCAGATGTTCTGGATTGCCCCCAAAAAAAAAACCCAAGGATTGCAAAAAAAACCAGGAATGGCGGATTGCAGAACAAAAACATTTTTTTGTTTGCAATCCTTCGTTCTGGATTGCAAAAAAGCCCAAGGATTGCAAAAAAAACCAAGGATTGGCGGATTGCAGAAAAAAACAGGGTTTTGTTTGCAATCCTTCGTTCTGGATTGCCAAAAAAAAGCCCAGGGTTGCTTTGCAATCCTTCGTGTTGGCTCCACCCGGCACGCCCACCCCGGCAAGAGCCAGATGTTCTGGAGAGCTCCGCTTCCCAGAAGCCCGCGACGACGGCACGCTTGGCACCAGGGTGCTGTGCTTCGCGAGTTCCCTGTGCATCCCTTTCCCCCCTCTCCAAAATATTGCGCTAAAACAAAAAAACACTTGGCACCAGGGTCTGCACAGGCCTCTCGAACATCTGGAATGTTCTGCGTTTGGGGTTTGGGGTATCTCCGGGGGGGGGGGCCGTGGGCCTGTGGCGAAGGGACTCAGGCTCTTCACCGACCTTTTTCTGGCCGAGCTTCGACTGTAAGAGGTCTCGGTGCTAACGGGGTCAGGCACTGGCTCTCCGCTGATCCAGGTGTGGGAGCCATGTGGAGCCGACTTGCCGAAACAGGGGACTGTCGTCATGATCGATTCTTGGGGGAACAACCAGGTTTGGGAATCAATTTTCACTGATACTGGCTAGGGGCTAGGGCCACGCCACGGCCCTGGATCAGAATTGGCGTGCAGTGGGCACATCACAGACGAAATTGGTTCGCTAGCTGATGGCTCACAGAAGTTCGTTGACCCCAGACGCCCTGCGGATTCAGAAAACGTGTAACACGTTGGGAGATTTGCAGAACGATAGCACGTGTGCCCCTAGATTCTTGTCAAGCAAAAATGGTGTTGAATCTGGCTAGTGGGGATGCTGTCCTGGCTGGGTCTGGTGATGGTGTTTGGCCTCTCTTGATTGTGTGTTTTGTTTCTCTCTCTCTCTCTCTCTTTCTGTTTTCTCTCTCTCTCTCTCTTTATCTCTCTTGTTTTCTCTCTCGCTCTCTTGTTTTCTCTCTCTCTCTCTCTCTTGTCTTCTCTCTCTCTCTCTCTCTTTATGTTTCTGTGTTGCCTCCTTCCTCATATTGCTTCCGCCCTGGAGCCGCGCAGGTACACCTCGCGCTTCTCCTGCCCTCGCTGGGCCTCTCAGGAAATGGGAGCTTCGCCTACAGCGGGTCTCGTGAGGCCCTTCTCCCATCCCGTCTCCTCCTCCTCCTCCTCCTCCTCCTCCTCTTCCTCCTCCCCTCCCCTCACTCCTCCTCGTTCTGCCTGGGTCCAAAGGAAGCCCCAATGGCGCTTGCATTCGCGGCTTCGGCGGCCACGGCCTTCATCCCAGGCGGGTCACAGATGAAAAGGAGCAGCAGCAGCAGCAGCAGCAGGAGGGCGTCAGTGGAGGTCCGGCCGAGGCAAAGGCGGCCCCTTCTGCCATTTCCTCCATCCTTTTTCCGCCTCCTCCCTCCTTTTTCCTCCTCCCCCCTCCTCCCTCCTCCCCCTCCTCCTTCTCCTCCTCCTCCTTCTCCTCCTCCTCCTCCTCCTCCTCCTCGTCCTCGGGGTATCCTGGAGATTTCCGGCCGCCACAGCTGGCTCCGCGTCGAGAGACTTGCCAGGAGGACACCCTGGAGGGGTCTTGGCGGCGAGAGCCGATGTTGCGCGGGTCTGGGCTCGGCCGGAGCGCCTCCGTTGTCTCAACCGGCCGAGGAGGCTACAGGCGAAAACGATGAGGATGGCTTATCTGCACGAGCGAAATGGGTACGGAAAGAATGGGTACGATGCCCAACAGCGGATCTTGTTCATCTTGAACAGGACTCGCTGTCCGCACCGCCGCGGCCTGTGTCCATTCGAGACAGGAGGCCGCCTGCCCAACAGCGGCCGCTGTTGGTTTGGGACAACAGTTGTTGTTGGGCATTGTACCCTTTTTTTCCGTGCCCATTTCGGGCGTCCAAAAGGATGGCTTAGCCTTCCCAAGGGTACTCCTGCATCCTTGCCTCTTCGGTCCTCCTCTCGGTGGCCAGCCCCGCTTCAAGAGCTTCGACAAGGGCGTCCAAGCGGCATCATCGTCGTGTGTGCGTCTGGTGGCTTTTTGTTGCACGTTCCCCGGCGCATCCGCGGGGGGGCCAAGAGCACAACCGCGCTCCCGCGCGTCGCGGGCATCAGCCGGAGGGGCGCCCTGCCTCTAGGGTCAGGCCCCGACACCCAAACAAAGATTCACCAGGATATTGGCAAGTCGGGGAAACACGACGGACACCCTTTCCTGCAAGGTCAGATTTGATCGTCCAGTGCGTGTCTTGGGTTCGGGGGGCTGCACTGCAGGATTCGGGGCTTTGCAGGCTTGGCAAGCTTTCAGGGCCCTTGTCCGGGTTTCTTCCAGGAATGTTGCAGTGCAGTGTTTGGTCGGTGCCCCCGTCTGGAAAAAAGCGGTTTCGAGGGATACCCGATGTTTTGGCCTGGCGTGTCCGGGTTGGCGGGCCTTGACGCAGAGGCAGCGCGATGGCGCGAACAGGACCGTGCGGCGCGAAGCGTGGGGACGCGATGTGCGAAGGTAAATGGGCCCGGGGGGACACGAACAAATCGGCACAGATCCCAAGTTTCCCCCTGCTTTTTCCATGCGTTCTAGGTTTCCCTCTTCCCCTCCGTCTCCCATACTGTTCCATATTGTCACGGGAATCGACGTCTTCGTGCGTGTGTGTGTGATTGTTTCTCCCTCCCGAGAAGGTTAAGGGTGGCCTGGGTTCTGTGCCCTCGCAGGCCTCCAGCGCCTCCAGAAGGCTGCAGGGACCTCGTGGGCACCTCGGGGGGCCTCACAGACCTCTCGGCACCTGCGGAGGCGTCTGGGGAGGAAGGGGAGGAGCAAGAGGAGAAGGAGCAAGAGGAGGAGCACGAGGAGCTGGAGGATGAGGACGACGTGGAAGAGGAGGCAGAGAAGGATGAGGCCGAAAGTCAGCCTCTCCGACGTGTCCCGAGATGTTTTCTATTCAGCCGCATGCATGGAGGGAGGTGCAGAAGGAGGAGGAGAAGGAGGAGGAGGAGGAGGAGGACGACGACGACGACGAAGAGGAAGAGGAAGCGGAATAGGAAAAGGTGGAGAACGACGAGGAGAAGGAAAGGGAGAAGGAGAAGGAGGATGAGTGAGGGCGGGGAAGAGGAGGATGACAAGAAGGAAGAACATAGAGGACGAGGAGGAGGAGGAGGAGGAGGAGGAGGAAGAGCGGCAGCAGCAGGAGGAGGAGGAGCAGGAGGAGTAATTAGGAGGATCAGGAGGAGCAGGGCTTTAGGGCTCCTTGGATTGTCGGCTGTCCTACATGGCTTCAGCTGGTGGCTCTATAGGGATATGTGGGGGTCGGGCTGCTCCTCCTCCCGCCTCTCTCATCGTCCTTCATCCCCGTCCCTCCTGCTCCTCATCCCTCCTCCACCCTCCGCCGATTCTTGCCGAAGGCCAGCCCTCCAAAGTATCCCTGGCCAATTTAAGCCTCCCAACCGCATGCATCGTGGGAGGTAGGAGGATGTAGCAGGGAAGAGATGAGAGGTGGAAGGGGGAGGAGGAGCAGAAGGAGGATTGGGTACGAAGAGCATGGGTAGGGGTAGAGGTCAAGGCTGCCAGCTTGAACGAGTCAGCGGACCTCGCCTACTCCGACTATCTTCCTGATCAGATAAAATCGCTGGCGCGCGCCAGCTGGCGCGTGCGTGCACTGAAACAACTGGCAATACCAATGGGCTCATCCAAGACAAATGAGCACTTGAACGCGATGTCGCTGCTGCAAACTGCAGGGGGGTACCCATGCATTGCGCGTCGCCAGAAAGCTGTATAAGGCGAAGAATCACGACTGGGAGCCCGATGGAACCCATCTTTTTGCAGCGTGTTCGAGCCAGATCGATCTGTGAGGGTCCCGGGGCCCGATGGCCGGGGGAGATCGCCCGTGCTGAAAAAGTGCGACGCCAGGGCTCTCCTCCCACGCAGAGGCCGAGCGCCCCAGCGCCCAGAGAACTCGGCGAGGTCTCGCTCGTGCGTTTTGTTCTTGGCTCTCCGTGGCGAGTGGCGGTGGCACCTTGAGATGGTGCGGTGAACGGGCCACGGCTCACCCACGCTGCCCCCACAGACAGGGGAAAGTTCATGCTCCGACTGAGACGTCATGACCCACGTGTTGGAATTGGCTCGTGTTTCGACAGTTTCCGGACAGGTTTCTGAGAGCCCCAGCGGTTCCACTCGATTCCTCCTGTTGCGCTTCTTCGCGGAGCGATCTTCCAGTGCCCTGCGCTGACTAACACGTGCGTTATCGCCATGGCCGTTGCCGCGTCGGAAACGCAGACGCTACTGAGGTTCGTTCGGGAACAACGGCGTGATCGAGCCAAAAAAGCACCAGTTCGAGCAACAATGGCTCTGGAATCTGGCTTTCCCATGCTTTCGAATGCCCAACGGATGGCAAACACATCGAAAACCTGAATTCCCCCTTGTCAGTCAGGGACCCGCTGGCGGGCTGGCCGCAGGGCTCGGCGCGTTCCGCTCCGCTGCGCTGCGCTCCGCTCCTCCCTCCCCTGGCGTCGCTCGGATGCCGGGGAGGGGGGAAACAAGGAAGAAAAATTAGGTTGCAAATCTCAGAGGATCCAGATGCCCCGATACATTTGTGGGCCGTGTTGGGCTTCCTGGAGCGACTGAGTCGCCACGGCGGGATCCGCTTCGAGGTGGATGGTTGAGGGGACAGGAAAAGAAGGAGGGACCAAGGCCTCCAACACATCGACAACCATGGAGAACGGTCGGGGATTCGCTGCCCTGGGCCTCTGGAGAAAGCTGGCCCTGGGGATGGGGTCGATCGGTCAAATCGCCATCGTGCCGCTTGGGGTAGGGGTCCTCTTCGTTCCTCTTCGGACCTTCCCTTCTTCCTGGAGAGTCGGGGATCGACCTGGACGGGGTTCATGGATGTGTCCGAGGGCCAGAGACGTCAGGAGACATGTGGAGACTTCTCATTACCCCTCGGGGGATACGAGTCAGAGAACGAAGGGGGATTCGGCAATGGGCCGGGATCATGGCCAGCGAGAGCACCATGCAGCCGAGCCTGTTGCAAAGCGCACCAGGGTGTAAGAAGTATGAATAGGAGGCGGAGGGGGAGGAGGCAGGAGCTCAAGCGAGACTCCCCGCTGCGACACGCTTGAACGCAGTTGGCCTGCCGTGCAGGCGAGCACGACCGCATGCAAGCGCTGTTCGCGTATTATCCTTCCGCGTCGCTGTCATCGTCGCGTCGCTGTGGTCGCGTCCCGCCCAGATGTCATCGTCTCCCCGTCGCTGTCCTCCATAGCTTGTTTTGGTTCGGCGAAGAAGGACCCCTCTTGCCCGTCGCTGGCTTTCCTCGGCGAAGTCATACTCTGGATAATGCTCGCTATGCTCCGCCAGCACTTCGTGAGCCCGCAGGACGACAACGTGGAGGAGCCGAAGTGTACGAACAAGTGCGCCGCCACTCAAGTCACTCGCTCACTCCTCTGTCCAGAGAAGACACACCGGCAGTCGGTGGTGGACTCCTTTGTCAAGAAGGCTGTGAGGGGGCGCCCCTCCACGCACATCGACAATCAGACAGGTGGCCGGACGGAGTCGCTGTACCACATCGACAAGGGCTTGAGGCACTTCACGCTCTCGGCAAAGGACGATGGCAGGATAATCGCAGAGTGCCCGATCGAAGAGATCCAGGATATTTACGTGCTCGACGACGGCGAGAACTGCCTCCCTCCAGAGGTGGTGCGCCAGGTGGGCCCGCACGAGCGGGACTGCGTGCTCATGGTCGTCCACGGCCATCTTCCTGATCGCGCACGGTCGCTCACGAGGAAGTACGCCTCTTGTTTTTGCATTGTGGAGGAATCGCGGGAGGGGCGCGACGTGTTCCTCGAGAGCATGCGGGTGTCCAGCATCTACGCACAGCATTCACCAGTTGTTTCACCAGCTGTGTCACCATGTCGCCAGAACCGCGCGTCACAGTGAGGGAAGTCGAAGCGCCAGCCATTTGACAGCGCCGGTGTTTTATGTTTGGGCGCCTGGGAGGGCGGAGGAGGGCCGTGGAAGCGTGATCAAGCATTGTATTCTGATCCTCGCTGCCGGTCTTTCTTGTGGGAAGCTGAGCCACTTTAATGTGGACCTAGCAGCGCATGTTGCCAGGAAATCACCGGTGCTTGGGACCCCGCGCCAGCTCCTCCTGTCGCCGAGAAACGGTTCAGACGACAGCCCCAGCCACTTCCAGGTAAAGAGTCAATCACCGCAGTGAGGGCGCATGGTTTTATCAAGGCTGCCCTTGCATTCTTGTCTTTTCTGCCCATTCTTTGTGGATTCTCATTACTGACTCTAGGGGACACTCTCAAGAGATATGGGCTGTTATGGACGTAAGAGTTCTTGCACACATGCTTTGTATTATTATTCCTGTGTTTGACTCTCCGTCTGGCGTGGGCCAGGAGGAAGGAGGAGGGAGGAGGGAGCAGAAAGCTGGAGAAGAGGAGAGAGGATACAAGCTAGGTGCGCTCGTGCCAAATCTGGCATCCTACCCCTACCCATTGCGCTGGAACCTTTCTACCCGCAGGCTGGAGGGTCCTAGATGACCTTGAAACTTACAATGGCCCCATCTTGCAATGCACAGTCAGAGAGGGAGGGGCTTTGTACACTGGACGAGGAGGAGGAGACGGATGAGCAGGAGGAGGAGCAGGAGAGTGAGGAAGAAGGCGGAGGAGTGGCAGCAGCAGCAGCAGGAGGAGCAGCAGGAGCAGGAGGGCCGGGGGAAGTCGCAGGAGCCACGAGGAGGATCGCAGCGGACCCAAAAATGCAACCCGCGCTCGGGCGAGAGCGCGAGGCTGAACGACGGGAGCCAGGTGCCCATCCCGAAATGCGGCCACCGCTGCAGCGGAAGCATCGCATGCTGAAGCTCCGACGCCGGCAAAACCAAAAAAACACGTGGAATTCTGCGCGGGAGGAAGTGTGCGGGAAGGGTCGGGGGGCGCCCACGGGCACAACACAGCATCCGGTGAGAGAGGCGAGCAGCGCTCGCATTGAACAATTGCGCAGCGGGGAGGAGCAGTGGTGGATCTAAACGGTGTTTTGGCGATTTCGTGGGCCAGTTTCGTTCCGATTTCGTTTTGCAGCAAAGGCGAGTTGAAGACAAAACGAGGCGAAACGAAACAAAACGGAAACGAAAAACTCTGTTTAGGTCGAGCACTGGGGAGGAGGGGGGAGTTGTCAAGAGTTGCTGCCGCGTTGGACCCTGCCCCCGGGAGGCCCCCGGAGGCCCAACAGAGGTCCAACAGAGGCCCAAAATCCGCTGAAAGCCTCCACTGTCGACCCTCGAGGGTCGGGCAACACATGGCAGGCAGCAGGAGCAGGGAGGAGGAGTTTCAAGGTCTAGGGCTCCCGCTCTCCGAACCAGTTCTCGCTTGCAGGGCGGGCTCCGCAGGTTCGCTGCCTGGTCCGATGGATCGGACGGACGCCAGGCATTTCTCTCCGTGCCCTCCTTCCTCTTCTTCCTCCTCCTCCCTTCCTCCTCCTCCTGCTTTCTTCCTCCTCCTCCTCATCAACATCATCATCCTCATCATGTCATCATCATCATCATCATCATCATCATCATCATCATCATCATCATCATCATCATCATCCGCATCCGCATCCGCATCATCATCATCAAAATCAGAATCATCATCTTAATCATCAGCATCATCATGTAGTCGTCATCATCAGCAGCATCATCAGCAGCATAATCATCCTTTCTCCTCATCCTCCTCCTCCTCCTCCACTTCCTCCTCCTGCTCGTCCTCCTCCTCCTCCTCCTCCGCCTCTCCCTCCTCATCCTTCTCCTTTCTCCACAGCCGATGATCGGGCCGAACGAAAGGGGGGGATAGGGAAAGGGGGGGTTACGAAATCTGCTGCATGCAGCTGGTTTCGACTCCGCCGCCGGGCCCATTCCTCCATACATGGGCGCCTCCCGGCTCCGGGGGGCGCCGGGAAAATCAGCTACGTGAGTTGATTCTCAAACCCCCCCTTTGCTATCCCCCCCTTTCGCCCGGCCCGAGATGAGCGCGCCACCCACAGGGCGCGCCCCGCGCCCGACGCGCGCGGGCGCGGCCGGGGCCGGGGCGGCCCACATTCACGAAAACCGCCTGAGGCCGCGGAGGGGGAGGAGGGGAGGACCGTAGATGCGGTACATACCGTCGACGTAGTATCTTGTCGGTAGCGAAGTACACGGGGTACATTGTCGGTAATGCACAGGATGCCTCAGATTATGCATACAGCGCTGCATGGGTAGACGTAGCATCTTGTGTGTAAGATGTACATACACGCCCTTGTCCGTATCGCAGTAGTAAGTTGTGATATTATTCTGCTTCAGGCAGGCCATGGTCGCCATAATTCCCAGCGTCGTCGCTTACCAGGTCGGAGTAGTAAGTTTTCCATCTGTCTTCGTTTGAGTAGGTGTTGTCCTTCTCGCTCGTTTCCTCGTGTTCCTCGTCGCTCTCGTTCTGTGGCGGGGATAGGCATGGGTCGCTTTCTCATGTACATCCGATTATGGTGTGCCTCGTGTGGTCGCGGTCAAACAAGAGCGCTCTGATGGCTCCTGAGGGGCCCAGCACGCGGACCATCGCGTCTCCTTCCTCGTAGTGGTGGCCAACGCTTATGTCTACGGGTACCATCGTGTCGTGGGGCTTGTTGTGCGTGGGGCTCGTGAGTCTGGATACGGAGCTGATGGCGAAAGCCTCTGTGATTGCCTCCCCCTCGGCGATCATGGCCCTTAGGAAGTCCAGCCCCCGTAGCGCGGCGTACATGATGAAGATGGGCTCGTCCTGCTCGTCGCTGTCTTCGTCCTCCTGTTGTGGCCCTCGTAGCTCAGCAGGTGGCTCTCGGAATCCTGGTCGCGGCCCTCGTAGCTCGGCTTGTTGCCCTTGTAGTTTGGTTGGTGGTTCTCGTAGCTGTGCCGGGGCTCTAGAGGCTCAGCTCGTGGACCTTGTAGTTCAGCTTGTGGCGCTGGTAGCTCTGCTGGAAGCCCTTGCTGGTCAGCTCGTGTCCCGCGTAATTCAGCTTGTGGCCTTTGTAGCCTTACTGGTGGCCCTCGTAGTCCAGCTGGTGGACCTTGTGGCCCGGCTTGTGGTCCTCGTAGCTCGGCTTGCCGACCTCGAAATTCAGCTTGTGGCCCTCGCAGCCCTGCAGGTGGCTCTGGAAGCTCTGCTGGTGGCGCGGGTAGCCCCGCTGGTGGCTGCCGTAGCTCTGCTTGAGACCTGCGCAGCTGAGCAGGTGGTCCTCGCAGCTGAGATGGTGGCCCTCGTAGCTCGGCAGGTGGTCCCGGTACCTCAGCTGGTGGCTGCTGTAGCTCTGCGCGCGGCCATCGTAGCTCAGCGTGTGGTCCCCCTAGCTCAGCCGGTGGCTCTCGGAGTCCAGATCGCGGCCCTGGTAGCTCGGCGTGTTGCCCCTGTATTTCAGCTGGTGGATCTCGTAGCTGTGTCGGGGGCGTTCAAGGCTCTGGTCGTGGACCTTGTAGTTCAGCTGGTTGCATTGACAGCTCTGCTGGAGGACTTCGTTGCGGTCTCCGTAGCTCAGCTTGTGGTCTCCGTAGCTCCTCTGGTGGCCCTAGTATTTCAGCTGGTGGTCCTCGTAGCCCAGCCTGCGGACCTCGAAGCTCAGCTGGCACGGCCCTGGTAGTCCTGTTGGTGGCTCTGGTAGTTGTGCTGGTGGTGTTGGTAGCTTAGCAGGTGGCTCACGTAGCACTGCCGGTGGTCCTCGTAGCACAGCCGGTGGTCCTCCTAGCCTAGCAGGTGGTCCTCTTAGCTCAGCTGGTGGTTCTCGTGGCTCCGCAGGTGGCCCTGGTAGCCCAGCTGGTGGCACTCGTGGCTCTGCGCGCGGCCCCCGTAGCACAGGTCGTGGTCCCCGGAGCTCAGCTGGTGGCTCTTGAAGCTCATTTGGTGCCCCTTTCGGCTCTGCGCATTGCCTTGGAAGTTCGGCAAGTAGTCCTTGTAGCTCTGCTGATGGCCCTTGCAGCTCTGTAGCTGTATCCTGAGCGTCCTTGTCCTCCTGAGCCTCCCAGCCCTCATCTGCCTTACTGGCCTCTTGGGCCTTCCGTGACTTGTACCAATGGTCCCCGGCGGCGCAGTTGCACAGGGACTCGTAGTTCTGGCAGTTCTGGGAGAAATCGTAGTCCTTGTGGTCGTCGTAGCACTGGTAGGCGTATTTGCTCTGGGGGGTGCTGTAGTTGTCACGCTGGCTCCAGTATCTGAGGAAGGAGTCGCCAGGTCGCCCCAGCACTGTATTTTCTCGCCTGGGGAGACGATCGTGGTCTGGTTTGGCTTGAAGATGGCTGCGGCTGGGTTCAAGCCGCCGCTCTTGCTGTTGTACTTGCCGTCGATCTTGGTGGCGTGCTTGGTGTAGTAGTGTTGGTGGTTCTCGTACTTGGGCTGCCTGTTACGCAGCTCGTCCTCGGGCTGCATATTGCGCAGCTCGTCCCGTCCTGTAGTTGACGCCATCATGAAGGCGGTCGTAGCGATGATCATGATGTCGTTGAGGTGTGGTTGTAGCCCATGTCAGGCGAGGTAGCCTGGTCTCGCGAGAGTCGCATCTGTTCGTGCTCCTCTATGCGTGTATGGTCTCGGCATACTCGCCGGAGGGTCTCCACCAAGGTAGGTAGGCCTCGTGGCCATCGGCTGCTGTTGCAGATGTCCGAATTGTAGTTCAACAGCTGGTGGATGGTCACCCTCTCCTGGATGTTCACCCGCAGGTGGCTGCTCACCCCCTCCCGGGTATTCACTTTCTCCTGGTACGCGCGCCGCCGACCGCGGTCGGCGCGCTGAAGCCGGCCCCCCCAGGGGCGCGTTCGCGGCCAGGCGCGGCGCCCAGGGGCGATTGCGGGGGATAGAGTTCCTGCAAGTGGCATTCCTCTCCTCCTCCTCCTCCTCCTCCTCCTTCTCCTCCTCCTCCTCCTGCGGCAGCTCATCCTGCTTCTCACCTTGGCATTGCAGGCTGCCATACATATCGGCTCGACCGAGCCCTTCATATCGCTCGTCGAGCCCAGCTCCGAGCACTTCATATCGCCCGCCGAGACCTGCTCCGAGCACTTCATATCGCCCGTCGAGCCCAGCTCCGAGCACCTCATATCCGACGCCGAGCTGTGCTCCGCGTCCCAGGCCTCCGCCGTCGAGCCCAGCTCCGAGCGCGTCATCCCCGCCGTGAACGTTGCCCGTCTCGAGTTCTGCCGCCAGCATCTCCGCCAACCACGTATTGGCATCGCAGCCGCCCTGGACATTGGACAGCTGTACAACAGCCGCTCATTGGACCTGCCCTACCGTCCGCTACAATGTCGTCAAGCAGTGATGAGAGATCGACGTCCCGCAGCGCTCCGACACGCAGAAGGAAAGAACGTCGCCGTGGACGCCAAGACAAAGATCGAGATGACAAATGTTCCCGCGCCTCAGCTGCCAAGGTTACACTCGACGTCATGGGAGAAGCTGGCGTCGCATCGCAACTCGTACGTGCTTCAGGGAGAGCCTCGGCGCCACCTTCACGTCCTGGTCGCTCGTCTGCGCGCCCGTCTACTCCGCCAACGTTTGCGATGGATGCCGACGACCTTCTACACCGCGGTGACGTCGCTTGCCACGCAGCGGCTGCCCCCGTTCAAGCTCGCGATGGACAAGGGAATGCTCCGCCCTCCCAACCTCTTGCAGTCGAGGCAGCTCCAGCCGCTGGAGGACACCTACATGCAGACCCACTGGCTGGAGATCGTGACCCTTGGCGTGGCCAACACACCGCTGGACGCACGTCCGCCGTCGGCACCGCCGCCGTCCCTCATGGTTGGGACATGCCAGCCTCAGTCGAAGCTGCTGGAGGTACTGCCACGCCTGGATCGATCCCAAGCATCTCAGGCTTGCCTCCTGATGTCGAAGCTGCTCTTCAACAAGTCATGCAGACTCAAGTCGAACACGCTGCCGCCACCTTCCAAGCCCAGGCCAACGCTCTTCTCAATGAATCACGCGAAAGCTTTCGCCAAATTCTCGCACAACAAGTCGTTGCTACCGAACGCCGAGTGGATGTTCTACATGACGCCGTCGCACGCACCCGCCGTGAACAAGACCGACAAGCCGACGAGCAGAGAAAGATGTGGCAGCAGATCGGCCAGATGCGTGACACGCTCGCGCTCGCTGAAGCTCAGGCGCCCATCACGGACCTCACCAAGCTTGCTGACCGGGACCGCGCCCCCGACCCGACCATCATCCCCACCGGCTGCCAGCGCCTCATCGCGCCCGACACTCTGCTCAACGACCTGCAGGAGTGGATCGCCTCCGCCAACGTTGACCGCAACGCCGTGGAGTTGCTGGGGGACGAGCCGTCCAGACGCTTCCTTCTTCAAGTCAAAGGAGATCGCGCAGCCGCGATCCCGCGAGCTCTCGCTCTTCCACGTGCCCTACGAGATCCCGCTGGCAGGTGGAAGCGCTTTGTTTCCACCGACGCGACAGGTGCCCGAGTGGATATCTACCTCAATCCCGACAAGTCTCCCAAGCAGACCCGCACCGAGATCCAGTGCAAGAAGCTCCTGCAACCCCTGACCTCCAGCGTCTTGAGTTTTTCAAGACGCCTGATTTGTCTTGAGTTTTTTGTTTCATTAGATATCGAAGAACTTTTAAGCTTGTCTCGATTTTTGTTTGGTGGCCATCGTCCGTCTTGAGTTTTTTCTATGTCTTGAGTTTTGTTTAGACGTCTTGAGTTTTGTTTGGATGCCTCGAGTCTTGTTTTTGGTCCAGCGAAGACAATTGTGGGCCGCACCCTGATGACACGTCGCTCACGTATCGGCTGGTTTTCAATGTGCAACGCGCGCGCGCACGCGCGCTTCGCGATGTAATAGTTGTCCTATAACCCGCATTCATATAGCTCCCTCTTCTGATCTGCGAAATGATTTTTTTATGTGGTTTTCCCGATTGGGCTTCTGAGTTCACATCGCGCAAACTCTATAGAGCTTAACTAAAGCGCCGCGACGCAGATGACCGACGCGCGCGCGCTCCGCTGTAATGCGTTTCTTATAATCCACATTCATATAATTCCGCCTTCTGATCTGAGAATGAAATTTTACATTGGGTTTGCCCGATGGGGTTTCTGAGCTAACAGCGCCCAAAC